CCTAAACCCTAAAACCCGAAGCGACATAGTATACGGGTCTTGACAGTTAGAATAAGGGTTTTGGGGTCTACGGTACCATCACCATACCAGGGACCTCCGGAAAATTCTGCTAGTGATTGTCCCGACCCCCACCCTAAACCCTCAGCCCAACCCATACTGCTGATGGACAAAATCCTGCATTACCCAGTATAAGGAATATACCATAGTTCCCATAGTTTAGAGTCCTTAGGGTCATGCAGGATTTTGTCCATCAACAGTATCTTTCAGCTCTGGCTTCGTGGCAAAGGCCCAGCAAGATCCGCAGTGGCCCTGATTCTTGGCCGGCGTCACGACGGTCGGGAAGGACTGACGCAGCTTACCGTTGGTTAGTAGGGAATGGAGGACTGGGGTACAATTATAACTACTATTACTACCATTCTTCCATTCCCTACTAACCAGCGGTAAGGCAGACACGATTCAGGATTTACGGCCGCTGAGAGTTACATTCTAGGACCCGTCGCAGGGCGCTAAAGCTTCGGGGTGTGGTTAGCTACAGTTTTGAATCCCTAACACCCGAAACCTGAAAAACCCGAAACCCTACCAGCACAAACCATTAAATTATGCCTAAAGCTAAAATCCCCAAAAATACCCGAACCCTAAACCCCCAAACCCTGAACCCGAGTCTTGGACTCGATGAGTTCCGGGACGCCTCGCGCCAGTCCACCTTCTGTGGGTACTCCTCGTCCTTGCTGAGGTGCCTCGGGCTGTAGCTATGTGATTAGGGTTTAAGGATTAAGGATTAAGGTTTAGGGTTTAGGGATTAGGGATTAAGGTTTAAGGTTTAGTGTTAAGGTTCAGAGCTCAAGGTTTAGGCTAGCGCCTGAAGTTTGAGGCTACGTCTTGAACAAAGACGGACACCTGCCTTCAGTCACCTCGAGGAGTATTTGGGAGACCACGGTTAAAGTTCAGAGCTTAAGGTTTGAGACCAAAAAAACCAAACAAACCAAAAAAAACAAAAAAAACAAAAAAAAAAAAAAACAAAAAAACCAAAGATTTCCGCACTAGTCTGAAGGATTCCGACTAGTGCGGAAATCTTTGGTTTTTTTGGTGTTTTTGGTTTTTTTGGTTTGGGTTGTAAGGTGTAAGGCTTGTGCTTATAACTACGGCTTGCAGGACTTCCAGGGGTCCAGAGGGCCTTCCGAAGCATGCAAAGCAACCCCGAACGACAAGCACCGAACAACAAGTAGCGCAAAAAGTGCAAAACACTGGGTATGCAAAAACCCAGGCCCCATGGCAGTCCCTTCTGTAAGGTTTAGGGTGTAGGGTTTAGGGATTAGGGCTTCGGGTTTCTATGGGATTTTGGAGCTCCAAGCCTTCTTGGGCTGTAGGGCCTATGGATGTCCGGCGTAATTATCGGCATTTAAGGCTTTTGGGCTTCAGTCGCCGGGGCTTGAAGGCTTTAGGACCCATTCAAACAACCCCCGAGGAAGGAGATTTTAAGAAATGAGCACTGTCTCCGTAAACCCTATTGACCCCAAACCGAACCTAAACCCCTTAAGGCCCTAAACCCCTACTGGTGACTTAAGGAATCAAACTGGCGAACTAACCCCGACCTGGACTTTCTGTCAAGAGGCGAGCCGCCTGTCTAACCAAGTGATCTTCCGAGAACCCTACTAAAAGCCTTCAAACCCTGAGCGCTAAGCCCGAAGCCCTAACCCCAAACCCAAAGCCCCAAACCCTAAATCCATCCGTTCACCCGACATCCTAATCCCTAAACCCGAAACTTAGAAGCCCTAAGCCCTAAACCTTAAACCCTAAACCCTAAACCCTAAACCCTAAACCCTAAACCCTGAACCCTAAACCCTAAACCCTAAACCCTAACCCTCAACCCTAAACCCCCAAAGATACCAAAAAAAAGGGCAAGGCCCAAGCGGCAAGGACTTCACCTTGAAGGCGGAGGCCTCGCGCTTCATCTTCTTCAGGCCACGGAGGGATTTCAGCTCCTTCTTTTTTTTGCATTTAAAGCCTTTTCGGGATTTAGGGCATTAGGGTTTTTAAGGGTTTTAGGGCATTAGGGTTTTTAAGGCTTTTTACGGCTCAAGGCATGTTTTTTTTTGAGGGCCCTTTTCCTCCCTGCTACAGTCGGAATACCTAGTAGGTAGAGCCAGGTATGAGGATTTCAGCTCCTTCAGGCTTCAAGGCATTTAAAGCCTTTGCGGGTTTTACGGCATTAGGGCTTTTAAGGCTTTTACGGCTTTTAGGGGCTTTAGGGCGTTTAAGGCTTCAAGGTGTCTACAGGGCTTTTGAGGCTTTTGTGGGCTCAGATTTGGGGTTGGGATTCGGGGTGCTTAGGGTTTAGGGCTTTTAGGGCTTTCAAGGCTTTTAAGATTTAGGGCTTTATAGGGTTGAAGATTTAAGCTCTAGGGCTTCGGGCTTAAGATTTAGGGTTTAGGGGTTAGGTCTTACGGGGTGTTTAGAGCTCAGGCTTTTTGGATTTAAGTGTTCTAGGGCTTTAGGGCTTCAGGGCCTACGGGCTTTAGGGTTTCAGGGCCTACGGGGTTCAGGGCTTCAGGGTTTTAGGGCCTACGGGGTTTAAGGCTGAGTTTTAATATAGGGGCCTTAATAATTAGGATAGGGTGTGGCTGCCCATTATACCATAGTTACAATAAGGAACCCCCAAAATAGTACGGGTAATTATTTGGGCCCCTTTTTTAGGGCTTTGGGCGCTCGGATCTGAGGGAGTCGGGGGTTCGGTTTGGGGCCTTCGGAGCACGGGTTTCGGGCTCAAGGGGGGGCATATGCCGGAGCTAAAGCTGCCTGAGACCCACCTTTGGAAGACCCTGATAGGGTTTAGGGTTTAGGGTTAGGCCCTTATAGTGTTTAGGTTTTGGGCTAGGCCCTTGTCATAAGATCCCTATAAAACCCTCGTACAACTCGAAAAAAGCAAGCAGCAAGGCTTGGAAAAACGGCTCTCCTCCGCCGTCCAGTCCGAGTAGACGTTAATGGCAACCTGACAACTCGCGGAAGAGATAGAGGGATTCCCTTCAATAATTCCTTAACGGGTTTCATGCTGGGGTTAAGGCTCGTCGGGCTGTAATGTAAGGTTAGGGGTTTAGGGGTCAGGGCCCAAGAATGAATGCTTAAGGCTTTATAGGGCTTTGTAGGGGGCCTTCCATTTTCATTTTGGCGAGCCTTGTCGGGTTTCCAAAGAGTTTTTGTCAGTATTCCGGTGTTCGGGATTGTGCTTCAAGGGGTCAGGGATGTGGGGGCTGAGGACTGAAGAGTCTGAGAATTTTGAGATTTTGGCTTCGGGCTCTGACCCGAAAAACCACCAATCCCTGAATCCAAGACATCGAAAAGCCGCCAAAAGCCGTCCGACCTTGTAGGTCTTGGAGGCATCCGCGTTGTGGGCCTGAACCTGGGTGCTTTAGACTTAACTTAAGGCTTAAAGTTTGGGTCATGCAGTCAAGGATGCATTGCATAGACAAGAGGATGCTTGTCTTACCGCGGCAGGTTAAGCTACGTTCCTTATCGAGCGGCCCGAAATCAAAACCCGTATGAACCCCACAAGCAGCGCAGAAAGCGAAACAACGATCGAACCCAGGCCCCGAACTCAAATCAAACCCCAAAGCCTCCTACAGGCACTTCACTGAGGAGGGTTTAGGGCTTCTATACTGAACTTAGAACCCTCGCAACCATTATAATTTTAGCTGTTTGTTAGGGATTATAATCACCAAAAATTAAAAGTATTTCTAAGTACCCCTAGGTCCTTAACAAGAGCCAGGTAGCGGCCGACAGGGCCTCCTGGAATGCCTTCTCCCTCTCGGCATACTCGCTGGACTTGGGGTCGTACTTCTTGCCGAAGTCCTGTAGAGCTTTTGGGTTTGGGGTTTAGGGTTGTGAGGCCTGGTATGAGTCCCGATGCGGTTCCTATAAGGGTTCCTTCAAGGATGTCTTATAAGGATTCGTTTTCGGGTTTTGCAGCGGTTTCTGCAAAGGCTCCAAAACGGGCTCGTACAAGGGTTCCTGCTTTAGGGATTAGTACGGGTTTTTGGGTATTTTTATCAGATTCTGCTATCCGCTGTATAGGACTCGCGGGCCCTATGGGGTTTTGGGCTCAATGCTTGCGGTGTAGGATCTCGTTCGGGCTTAGGGTATACCTTAACCTGCCAAACCCTAGTTTTTTGTAGGTTCCTAATATAAAACCTATTGTGAAGTTAGTGGGTTAAGGTACACGTATAGGAAAAACTACACCCTGCGACAACCAGAGAGAGTCTCCTTGACGTACTGGTCGAAGCTGTAATCTTGCGGTGGCCGCTCGAAGTTCATCATCTTCATCACGTGCTTGGACACATTGGCCTGGCGACTCCAAAGGGGTGGGGTTATATAAAGCCAGAACCTCTTCTGGTGGACTTTCAGGGGTTTCAGGGAGTTATGAAGCCTCCTCGAGGCTTTTCTACGGCAAAAAAGCCGACCTTGTGGAGGCGAGTGTGGAGAAGGATGGAGTTCTCCTCCTCCCGGTCGCGAGTGCAAGCTCCCGTGCGTTCGCACAGCAGCTCGGCTGCTGCCTGGTGCATCAAAGCCGCCGCGAGGAGGCATCGGCGCATCATGGCCTTTTAAGAGCGCTGACACAAGGGAGATAAAGTTCGGTATTTCCCGGCACTCAGGGCTTCAGGCTCGAGCGAGAAACGGCCCGTCGGTCGAACATTCATGATCTGACTTGGCTGAAGCAGCCCCTGGAAGAGTCTAAACTGAGACTAAGCCCTGTAGGCCCTCCCAGCTAAACCTTTAAAGGCCCCTCAACCCTGCATTTTGAACCCCAAACACCACAGACCGCGACTTTGAACCCGAAAGCTAAATCCTCCGACCTGTTGATGTGATGAGTCAAGGGCTCCAAGCGTGCGATGAAGGTAGGTGGGGTAATCCCAACATTAGAGTTCTTTTCTAAGGGATCCTTTACTTAATCCTACCTACCTTCATCCTACCTTTTGAGGCCTCCAAATGACATGACATATCCCAGCCTCGGCGCCCAAGGCTGCCTTGAGGAGAGCGAAGCTGTGGACTTCGGCGGGAGCCGCCGCACCTCGAAGGCGCCGACGTTCAGGGCTTAGGGTGGCGTGCTTAAGGTTTTGGGGTTGGGGGTTTAAGGTTTAAGGTGTGGGGTTTAGGGTTTGAGGGTTTGAGGGTTTCGGGTTTTGGGTTCGGTTGTAGGGTTTCGAGTTTCGGGTCTAGGTAGGGTTTGGGGTCTAGGAAGCCGTGAGCCTTTACGTAGGCTGTGATTAGCTTCTTTTGGGAGTTTGATGTGGCTGCTAGGGGAGTTCCATGAGGTTGCTCACGGTGCTTTACTGGGTCTTTCTTTGGTTTCGGGCTTATAGGATTGTCGGAACGGAAGGTTCAAGGTGGGTAATACAGGGTCCTTAATAATTACAACAGGGTTTTGGGGCCCATTATGCTATCGGAAGGTATAAGAAGGAACACCAAAAATAGTATAGGTAATCATTAAGACCCCTATGTTAAGCAATTGAGCTTAGGGTTTACGGGCATAGGGCCTCCACTGAAGGATTTCAGTTAGCAGCGGGTTGCAGCAGGAACTTTTTGGGACTTGTGGTTGTGGTTTCGAGTTACCCTTGCCTTTGCCCTGAAACCTTAAAGCCTAGACCCTAAGCCCCCAAGCCCAAAACCCGCAGATCATTCTGGTTCAGCCCTAGGAGCTGGCTGTAGCTTTGGGACAGGCTGAATCTGGGAAGCTGGACGATTTACGGCATTTTACATGTTCTTCTAATGCGGAAAGCCTTTTTTGAACAAGGCAACCGGTAGTGTTGGTTCTAGGGTTCACCCTGAAACCCGAAACCCTGCACCGATGCACCCTACCCCCTAAGTCCCGAAGCCGCCCTAGCCGCATGCGCTAAACCACACGCCTGGCTTCAGCTTCTTCACAATACTCTTCGCCAGCTTTCTTTTCATCACGAAGTTCACGGCCTGTCAGCAAGATCGTTGACACACTGTCAGTGTCAGCAGTAGAAGTAGCAACCACACCAGTAGCAGTAGCGGTAGCAGTAGCAGTAGTAGTAGGGGAGGAGTAGTAGTAGTAGTTGTAGTAGTAGTAGTAGTTGTTGTTGTTGTTGTGGTAGCAGCAGCAGTAGTAGTAGAAGTAGTAGTTGTTGTTGTTGTGGTAGTAGCAGCAGTAGTAGTAGACTAGCAGTAGAAGTAGAAGTGGAAGTGGAAGTAGAAGTGGAAGCAGAAGCAGAAGTCGAAGTCGAAGTAGTAGCAGTAGTAGTAGTAGTAGTAGTAGTAGTAGTAGTAGTAGTGGTGGTGGTGGTAGCAGCAGCAGCAGCAGCAGTGGCAGGAGCAGTAGTAGTAGTAGCAGCAGCAGGAATAGTAGTAGTAGTAGTAGTAGTAGTAGTAGTAGTAGTAGTAGTAGTAGTAGTAGTAGTAGTAGTAGTAGTAGTAGTACTAGTAGTAGAAGTAGTAGTAGTAGTAGTAGTAGTAGTAGTAGTTGTTGTTGTTGTTGTAGTTGTAGTAGTTGTTGTAGTAATAGTAGTAGTGTTAGTTTGGTTAGTAGTAGTAACAGCAGCAGCACCACCACGACCACCACCAGTAGTAAGATCAGCAGCAGTAGAAGTCGCCATCGTGCTGACGCTGACGCTGGCGCTGGTGCCGGTGATTAGGGTTTAGGGTTTAGGGTTGTAGAAACAGAAATTGTGCACCAGAGACAGCAGTCCCACAGCGAAGGCAGCGATGGAAGAAGAAAGAACGAGGCAGGATTCAGGACTATCTGCGGCATCCTCCAGTCAAGGCACTCTGCTTACATGGACCCATAACTTCCCAAAAGTTCGGAACCAGAAGATCTGTATATTGCCCTAAATGCTGACAACCTGAATCCAAAGTCCTTGAAGTCTCTGCGAACCCTTAGCCCTTTGCCCCGACAACCGTGAAAATTTCCAAAATCCTCAGAGTTTCGGATATCGGGTTCAAAAGGACCATGGCGGAGGAAGGCACGTGGCAGTGGGGGAGTTTTTGGGGTTTAGGGTTTAGTGATTTAGGGCCAGCCTTGTTGCGGCCCTTTCGCAGAGCCTCCAGTGCCTTGCCATTCACACTGATGATGTGGCCACCTGCGTGCCGTGCACGAACCCGGGTGTTTAGGGCTGGAGGCTTTTAGGGTGTTGATTTAAAGCTCAGGATTTGGCTTTTCGCGTTTGCCCCACAACATTCCACCCACGAGCCAAGCCCGTACATCCAAAAGGCTACATCTCCAAACCGTTCAACCCTAACCTTAAGCTCCTAAACACTTAAACCCTAAACCCTATAAACCCTACTCCAAAACCTTAAATCTCTAAACCTTGAGACCCAAACGCAGACCCGATTCTGAGTTTGGCTTCCTGAATCTGGGCTTCTCGGTTTTTGCGTTGCGGGGCCGTGGCACGAAGTATTGGGAGAAGGCTTCACCGTTTCGACAGTTTAGGGTTTCGGGGTTCAGGGTTTCGGAAAGAGTGCTGGTGATCATGGCAGGTAAAGTCCTTAGCCCCACGGTACCTTCCGCTACAGCGCAACCCCACTGAGGGGATCCACTACGATGGATAAACTCCGGCAGTACCTGTCCGGTGTGGAGGGACAGAATTACACACCCGACAAGCATCCCAATCTGGGAATTAAACCAACAAGCGCTTAAACGGTGGCTGTTGGTTCCTGGTATCAGTCGGCTTTATTGATCGCTTCTCACCTGAAAGACAGGTACCACCAAAATGCTCTCAATTGCACTCTGCTGTTCCCTTTCGCTCGCGTTTACTCCCTGTTGCTCTCTGTTGGTCTCTGCTGCTCCCATTCGCTCTCTCCTCCCCACACGCGTCCACTCAACTCACACAGTTGCTCTGAAGCTCTCATGCTTGTAGCCAAATTTTAGCAGGATGACGGTATGTTCGGCTTAACGTATCATGCCCCGTAGTTTGTCGACCCACAAACCCTCCAACACCCGATAAACCGAGTGCGGGACCCTTTGTGCATCAGCAGTAGAACCCTACTACTAGCTACGCATGGAGCCCTCCTGACGTTTCTGGCCTCTGGAACCCCAAGCTAGAAAGCTCAAAGGTTTGGGGTTTCGGGAGTGGGGATCGTGCTTCTTTCGGGATTCGGGCTTAGGGGTCCGGGTGTGGGAAATGAGACCGAAGAACCTCAAGGCCCGGATCCTTCGTTCTTCGGCGCTGTGCAGCTAGACGAGCGGGGTTCTATAAGGTTTGATCTGGCTTTGAGAGGTGTCTATGGCGTCGTTGGCTTTCTAGGATCCAAAACTCTTCCCTCTGACTGTACAGCCACCTGCTCCCCAACGCACATCCAAGACGTTGCACTTCTTACCAGTAGGATAATCATCCTATGTGCGACCCGGGTAGGGTAAAGGTACACTGGGTTTCGAGGAGATGAGGGACCGTAAAGGAGAACCCTAAACAATCCTTATCACCAGAACCCCTGTGCGAGGTATCCCTGTGCCTAAAGAAAGCCGTACGAAGCCCCAGCAGCCTAAATCGTAAACCCTAAAGCCTAAACCCTAAACCCTAAACCCTAAACCCTTAAACCCTAAACCCTAAACCCTAAACCCTTAAACCCCTAAAGCCTACCTGGTTCCCACACGGGAATCCTTACGATAGAACCCTCAAGAGCTGCTTGAAGGGGCTCGGCCGAGCGGCTAGAGCTCTCACCCCGCTTTGCCGCAATGGACTTCGCAAAGCCTGCACAAGGAACCCTTATAGATCCCTTAAAGGAGCCCTTATAGATCCCTTGATGGTAACTTAAAGCTTCAACCCGAAAGCTTTAAAGGGCTTCGACAAGAAAAGCAAGAAAAGGGCGTCAGTCGTGAATAATTAACAGCAGCATTCCCTTCTGGTCCCTAGTAGGGGTAAAGTACGCATACTATACTCCCAAAGGAGGCATTGAGGACTTTGGCACCAAGAACGCAATCCAAGACTCGAAGAGAGTCTATGGGACGTTAGGATATAACTTAAAAACACACAGACAGACAGACAAACCCTTATCTCCCCCACCTCGCCCTCACACCCCCGACACTCTAATCGCCTAAAACGTCAATTAAACCCCAAACCCTGAATAGAAAAATCCTGAAGCCCAAACTTTCCAAACCCGGTTCCGGCTCAAGTCTGGGGACCGGTGCAGAAACGCGCTGCTCTAAGCCCTGAACAGAATCTGAAGGGACCTTCTTCGGTGGAAAAGTGGGTATTGTTATTATAGGAACCCCGACACCTATTTACGATCTAACATGATAAACGCCCTTAAGCCTTGTGAATCCTTGATTGACGCCTTCAAAGAGTGGCCAAGTTCAAACTGAGAGACATCCGCTTTAAAGCCCTCAGCCTCAACCCGGAACGGAGCCGCCCGCGTCCGTAAACTCGAAACGGTGTAACCATAAACAGTAACATGACAAACCTGAAATAATTCTGAACCCCGGACTATTAAAACATTACAGTAATCCTGAACTACCTATTCCAGCCTCGTCCTCAACTACTTGTTTAAAGCCTCGCCCGTGCTGTAGCGTCACTCCACCCTACGCTGCGGAAATTCACAGCCCCAAGCCCTGAAACCCTAAACCCTAAACCCTAAACCCTAAACCCACACTAAACCCTGACCACACATCATTGCATCCCGAAGGCTCCAATAGCCAAAACCCGAGTATGGTTCTGGGGCTCAAAGCCTTTTGGGGTAAATGCCACACCCCTAAGCCCGACACCGAAATTAAAGCTAGCAAAGGCACCCTAGAACCTTCTAGAACCCCACCTAAACCCTAAAACCTAAACCGCGACCATCCTTTCTGGAAGCCTGAGAGAACCCTTGTAGAACCCTGCGAGCACCTTTCATGGAACCACTATAGGACACCATTAACATAAACCAGAAAATAGTAATAGTAATAGTGGTTATATAGTAGTGATATGGTAGTGATATGATAGTGATATGGTAGTAATATGGTTATGGTCATAATGTAAGTCATCGAACAGCGTTCTTTCAACTCTTCCTGGCCTTTGGCGTCCCCCAGCGCAACCAGAGTGGGTCTCCCGGGTAGGAGCGAATTCGTCTCCAGATCCTCTGTCGGCGAGAGCTTTGCCGGCCTGATTCAGGGTTTAGTACAACGACTTAAGGTTTAGGGTTTAGGGCGTAGGGTTTCGGGCATAAATATATGCAGAAGCTCTGAAACGAGCCCTGAACCGCGGTCCCCTGATGCTACACCCGAGGCCCGAAAACAGGTTCAAGGAACTACGGTTGATGACATAAATCCTGCATTACCCATAGTCAGGAATATACCACTATTTCCATTCTTTAGGGTCCTTAAGGTAACGCAGGATTTACATCATGAACCGTAGGGGCTTTGGGGCTTCGGGCTTTAGGGATGTGGGGCTCTAGGCTTTTTGCGCTCTCGAAGGTTCTAGAGGTTGAAGGTTTGGGACTTAAGTGACTCAGATCTATAGGGCTTGGAAACGGGGACCTAGGGTGCTTTGGGGTTTGGGGCTTCATGGGTGGTTGTCAAACTTAGGGTCCCTTTTTGGGTCCTTATTATGATATGGCACCTATTATTTAGGGTACCCAAACAGGGACCATAATTTTGACAGCCACCCATTTGGGGCTTCATGCATTTCGGATTTTGGGCTTGGGAGGGCTTGGTCTTCGGTTTTTCTTGCCACCTTCGCAAGGCGCCTTTGGTGTGAAAAAAGGCGGTATCCTTACGCGTGCGTGCTTTGGGGTTTAGGCTTTAGGGCTTAGCGACAGATCCGGGGACTTTAGAAGTAGGCTACCTAATGAGGGTACTTGCTGCAGGTCCATCTAGTGTAGCATACCCTGAGCCCTGAACCCAAGCCCTAAACCCACAAGCCTTCGACCTTAAGAGTTTTACTAAGTGCTTTGATCCCTCTTTAAGCATACCAAAACATCTATGAGGACCTACAAAGCCCTCTAAAACCCGTACCACCGCCTTGTGAAACCCCTCTTGACAACTGCGCAAGTCTCTTAGAACCTACGGGCCCAGCGAAACCGAAAAAAACAAAAACAACTCTACGAAATCCCTGCAAAACCCGAAACCCTAAACTTGCCCCTGGCAACATCCATACGTCCCAAACAACTCTGGTGGACCCTCGGATCGCCTGGAGAGTGCCAGGGCCCAGTGGAGGTCCACGTACTTCGACACATCGCGCCAGACCTCCAAAATGACTCCAAAAGGCGGCTTAGGGTTTGGGGCTTTCGGGTTAAAGGCTTAGAGTTTGGGGTTTGGGGTTTGGGGGTTTAGGGTTTAGGGCTGAGGGCTTAAGGTTTAGAGCTTGGGGGTTGGGGTTTGGGTGTTCGAAGGGTTTGGGATTTAGGGTGAAGGAAGTGCAAGGAGTCCTGCATAAGAGTTCCTGCACAATCATGGCTCTTGTTGTTCTGGGGCTTGATGAGGTTTTCATAAGGAATTCCAGGACCAGCCGGCCTCGATCTTTGACAGGCTTTGGGGGCTATCATAGACAACTATGCATGACGTAAGGGCTTGTGGGAAGGTGCAGGAATTACGCCGAGGCCCCAAAAGTCAACTTTTAGTTGCTTGGGTTTAGGATACTGGGACTTGGACCTTCAGGGGAAAGGGTTGAGGGCCTAGGGTTGAGGGTTCAAGAATTGAACCCGAAAACCCCAAACCCAACACTCTGAAGGACTAACTCCGGCGAGATCCTGATAACCTCCAAGTTCGATAGTGCCTCGGTCAGGTGTTTTGTCTCCTCGCCCTGCACGACACTGGCTCTGTCGAAGATGATTCTCCGATTACCATCCTCATTTTTACAGCCCCGCAGGGAGAGTCCAAAACACCCCCAACAGCAACATTCCTCAAAAGCATCGCTTATGTAGATCAACGACTCATCAACTCGCTTTGTTGACATTTTTAGGAAACCCTACACCCGCACAAACCCTGCTGTTTCCACATTCCCACCGGAGAAAAAAGAACAAAACAAGCCCTAAAGTTGCACACATTCTCCCCGAAACTCCTAAAAGACTAATCTTGAAAAGAAGGGGGGCAGAGCCCCCAATGGCCTGAGGCACCTGGTCCTTCCCCTTCACAGTCCTCGGGCCACAGAAGGGCTGTTCGGGGCCTAGGGTTGGCTCACGGTTTCGGGCTTGTAAGCTGGAGTTTGGGGTTTCGGCTTTAGGTTTGAGGGTTTGGGGCTGGGTTCAAAGGTGTGGTTTCGGAATTAAGGCTGGGGATTCAGGGTTGAGGGTTGGGGGGGTTTTGCCGGGGGGCGTATCTGTGACGACAGTCGCAATCTTGAATGGTTTATGACCAGGTTGGTAAAGGTGACTGAAGGATTCCGGTCTTTTTCACACACACACTATACTATGCAGCTGAATGGCATGATGCCCAGTCTAACAGGCTCTGCATAAAGCTCCGAGGATGTAGCTTTCTTCCGTCGTCAGGAAATTATTATTGTTACAATAAGGATTAAAGTGTGGTTCTTTAAGTTCTTGGCTTCGGGGTTTTTTGCCGTCAAACACCTCAAAGTATTGCCGTGGTTTTGTAGGCCGTCCATACAAGCCTATAAAGTTATGCATCCCTGAAGGAAGGCCCCACAACTGCCGCACAACCCTAAATGCCTGAATATCGATCCTGAAGCCCCACTAAACACCAAAACCGCTGGCCCCAAAACCCCAAAACCATTAACCAAGGAACTCTTCCTAAATCAGAAGAAGAAGAAGAAGGCTTGCAAAGTTTCAAAGGGGCTTGTAGCTTACTGGGTTTAGGTCTTAGCTTGTAGGGTCAAGGCTTCAAGCGGGCTTAAAACTTGTCATTTCGTGCTTAGAGTTTTACGAGTTATGGCTTCTACCGCACAGCTTGTTGGGCATAGTGTTTAGAGCTCATAGGGTGTATAAGGTCCGTAGTTGATGGGGCGTAAGGTTAAAGATTATAGCTTATAGGGTTTAGGCCTTGCGGTTCACATGGGGCCGGAATAAGCATTTAGGATTTGGGGCGTTCATTAATTCTTATAGTGCGGGGGGCTTCATGCAAAGCCCAACAAGCAGGCTTCGCATCTGAAACTGCTCAGAAGCTGTACGTCCGAAAATCCGACCTTAAAGCCTACACCATCCATCAGGGCATCAGGTGTATGGCTGCATCATACACTTTAGTGTTGTGGGTTTAGGGGGTGGGCATCGGGAGACTCATCTAATCTTCACCTCAGTCTCAACCTTTCAGCGTTTATTGAAGGCTTCGGATTCAGGGATTGGGTTCACGTTTGGGTTGAGGGTTTAGGGTTTAGGGGTTTGCAGGTTTAGGGTTTAGTGGTTCAGGGTTTAAGGGCTGAAGGGTTTAAGGTTTAGGGTTTGGGGGTTTGGGGGTTTGGGGGTTCAGGCTTCAGGTTTGGGGCTTGGCATCTGAGCGGCTTGAAGAAGACCGCTGTGACCATGCGGATGCTCACCAAGTTCTTCTGTGCTCTCTTCACCGCCTCCATGACGAGCTAAAACTAAACCCTCAGTCCCAAACCTAAACTCCATCCCTAAGCCCTGAACCCTGTATCCTAAATCAAGGCTTCGGAGTGAGGCCCAATTAAGTGAAGCAAATCCTTCTAGTGGCTTTGTAGGGTCTTTTACGGGCTCTTCTGGGATTGCTGCTGTCTGGATATACGGGGCTTCATCCCGAAAACTTGGAAGGGTGTATGCATGTGTATGTGTGTGTGTGTGTATATATATATATATATGTGCACACATCTGTATGTGCAGAGACTCTGTGGTTGTTCTGAAATGTCCGTGTCGCGGCTACTGCACGAAAGAGCCCACGTTCTACAACAACCTGAAATGTGTTGCCCGACTCGCATCCGAACGACGATGCGTTACGTGTCCCAACTGGAGACGTGGCAGAACCCTAAACCCTAAACCCTAAACCCTAAACCCCTGCCGGGGAAAGTGTTCATGGCTGTAAAGGTTGGGCGGCTTCACGACGAAAAACAATACCCAAGCACACGCACAGGCCCGAAATCCTTTGTGCTTAGCAAGCACACCATCTTCATCGTGACACCACGATATCCCACAGCTCTATCACTGTTATCATGAGCAGAACATAGTTATCATCACCGCAATCATCGTCAGCACCTCTTTCATAGTCGTCTTCATTGTCACCTGCGTCAGCATCCACTCTGCCTCCTAGCAGCTATCTCGACACGGGCTTATGTACTCACAGTCTCCGCGAGACCCGTCAAAGGATGGCAACGGAAAAAAGGTGTGTGCTTTTGTGTCAATGTGCACTGCTGGTGCTTCGGCGGCAGTCATGAGCATGGTGCAAGGTTCTGGCGGCGACTGGTGCTGATACGGGCAAGAACGATGCTGATGCCGATGCCGATGCTGTTAGCGATGGTAGTGATATGACCCTAGCGATGGCGAATGATGGTGACCTACACAGCATCGTCGACAAGAACGAGGAATAAGAGCCAGCAGAACGCTTCTGGTGATCGTTCGGCCTTCGCGGCACTCGTGGAGGCCTTGCTCAGTGCCTGGTCTCGTTACCACTTTGGAGTTGAAAAAGGAGGGATTCTTGGGTGTTAGGATTTGAAGAGGTCAGTTGTCTAGCCCAAAGGTCCAATAAAATCTCAGCTTGGAAGTAGATAACCAAGTCAGCTACTAACACAGGGTCGGTTGATATCTAGCCGGATGTGCTCGGAGCCCTCTGCACTTGACACCTCAGAGCGCCCCACGCTCCACATATCCGCCCAAATCATGGTCCTGAACCCTCAACCCGGAGCCACTGTCCGAGCGAAGAACCATAGAACCTAAGCCCTCAAACCCCTAAAACCCCAAACCCTAAAACCCCTGGGCCCTAAGCCCCAAACCCCAAATGCTTCCTAAGCACTGGCAGGGTGAAACGTGCGGACTCTGAGCTTTTTTGGATCGGGTGCTGGGTTGAAGGGTTTTGGGTTTTGGGTTTAGGTTTTTAGGGTTTAGGGTTTAGGTTTTTAGGGTTCAGGGTTTAGGTTTTTAGGGTTTAGGGTTCAGGTTTTTAGGGCTTAAGGTTTAGGTTTTAGGGTTTTGGGATTGTGGTCTGGCAAATCCGACGAAAAGGGCCTGGCCAACCACCAACGGATGAAAGCTAAAGTAAGGGCTTCAGCACCTTTAAACAAGGGTCTTTGCAAGGGTTACTAATACTATAATTGTTACTCCCTGGGACTGATGTCGGGCCTTTGACAATTAGAATGACAGGGGTTGGAGAAGAGGGGAGGGGTGGCACCAGAGTCCGACAGGGGCTATCAGGGAAGATTCCCACTTCTTCTTCTGACCGCCGAGCACCCAAGCATTCTAAAGCCAGAAGTCTACAGAAATAGTGCTTCCCCTGACCAGCCCTGGGAACACGTTCAAGCCCCAAACGCTTGCACACACTTAACCCCTTCAAATCCTTACCTCTTTCAGCCCCAAACCCCTTCAAACCCTTTGACCATTTCAGCCCATGGAGAAGCGGGAGTTTCACAGAACAAGGGGCCTTCACGTAGACCCTGGCATACCCTAGAATGGCACCCTAAGCAGTGAGGAGTTGGTCGCAAGGACACATAGACCCAACATTTCTACCATAAGGGCCCTTTGAAAGGAGCTCTGCTGTTTCAGAACTCCCAAATAAAACCCGCCAGAGCTCCACCTCGAATCCCAACATGGAAACCCATAGTAAAGAGCCCTGCAATGAAAGCGTGGCTTGACGCTTAGGGTCTCAGGCTCCTAGGGCCTTACAAGCACCCAAAACCCGAAGAAGAACATCCGGGCCCTAAACCCTAAACCCCCAAGAAAACCCTAACACCCGAAACCCTAACCCCTAAACCCCTAAAAATCCCTAACCCCTAAACCCTAAACCCCTAAAAACCCCTAACCCCTAAACCCTAAAGCTCTAAAAACCCCTAAAGCCCTAAAAACCCCTAACCCCTAACCCTTGGAGCCTAAACCCCTACAGCCCTAAACACGAAGAGTGGAAGCTCGCAGCCTCCAAGCCAGCTTCCAGCTCGTTGTAGCGAGCCGTGTGCTTGTCCAGCTCCTGCGGCGAAATATAGGGTGCTGGGTTTCGGGGTTAGGGGTTTAGTGGTGCTTTAGGCTGTCGGGTTTGGGGTTTAGGGTTTCTTTTGGGAAGCAGTTCGGACTCTGATGAGTGCACACGCATGCATGTCCAACTCACAAAAAGCTAGCTCCAGCAGTATGCCCACTCTGTGGGCAGACTGGAGCGAAGCTCATCCCACAGCGGAGTTCTCACGCTGTGTGGCCTCAGGACCAAGCGTCCGACGCCAGAGTAAGCGGTCCATAGAACGCCGTAAACAACGGTCGCGCTTTGCACTGACCCCCCTACCGGATCTGCAGCCTCCAAACCCAGAGTGACTCGCAGGAGTACGTGAATCAAATCACGTCGGGAAGGGACAAAACTGAGGTGTGTGACGGGCAGGTATTCTTGAGAAATGCCCGCAAAAGCACGAAGGTCCATGGCCTTGCGGACCAGACGAGGCCGTCAGGCGGATGGCGATGGTGCCCTGTGCTGTGGTAACCTGAAGCTGTGCGCCTTTGACACAGAGCCAGTCCTGTCGACAGCGTCGAGGTCCCGGCCCAAGGAAGACCGGCAGCAACTCTGATTTTCCCCGGGCAAGGTTAACCGAGATGCCGAGAAGGCGCAGCTCCGTTATCACGGTGGACAACACAGAACCGGCAACAGTCATCAAGGCATCCCCACAACCTGCTTGAAGCGGCACGCACAAGTCATCCATCCAGCTGGGTGCCGGAAGCACAGATTGTGAAGGGTGGCTGGGACAGTGCTGAGTCTGTGCCTCCAAGCAAGTCTCCTGCAGAAGGTCCTCGACCTTACGGCCCTTTGTGGCAAACACAAGTTGGAACTCCACATCCGCGAGAGGAGATCCTGGGGAAGTGCCAGTGCGTGTGGCAAAGCAATGGCGTTGTTGATGGCCCGTGGTGTACCAGGTGTCCCTCAACGTGGACAACAAGACACGCCAGGGTTTCGGGTTTAGGGTTTGCCTGTGTTTTTGTACCATGCACGGACTTCAGGCATGGGCTTCGCAGTGTTGGCCTTCAGGTTTAGGGTCCAATATCCTTCAAGTACTTAGAATAGGGCTGGGGCCGGTATATTCTACAACAAAAACACAAAAAACAAGCCACATCCCAATCATATTACGGCCAAAACCCTTGGGACTCTGGGGTGCGGGATTGTCGGTGTGGATCTAGGGCTCTGGTGCCTAGGATGTGGGGTCAAGGGTGCGGGACCTCTAGACCTGCAAGGACTGCCCCGGACCCAGACTTGCAAATGAATCAAAGTGCGAAGAAGCAGCAGCCACCAAAGACCTTCCAGATCCCGTTTCGATCCTTTCCACACCTTTCTAAGTCATCTATGGACTATCGACCAAGAACCGTTCTCGATCCTGTTTGGAATCCTGGAAAGCCCTCATATACGGCAACTTAATCATTAGGATGGGGTTTTGGGCTCATTATACTATACTTATCATAAGGAATCCCCAGAATAGTGGTGGTAATTATTTAGGCCCTGATATTACGCTGTGAGCTGAAGACCGAACCCCGCGCCGCTCCTTCTGGAGGTGCGTCTCGTCCTGTCCATCGCCGGGTTTAGAGTTCATGAAATTTTGTGCTAAGGGCTTTTTTTGCACGACCCATTTTTAAGGTTTTGGGTTCCAGGATTCGTGGGATATTGGGCTAAATGTTTAGGGTTTAGGGGTCGGTTTGGTTTACGTGGGATGCCCCACCGGAACTATGCGACACTTTGAAGGCCATCTTCCTGGACTCCCAACCCCGCCGCACCGAGGACCATCAGGGTGCGTCATAAACAAATCTTAACATATTCGGCAATTCGGGCCAGATGTCAATCTTGAACCCTGCACTGAAGCAGACCTCTCGTGACTTGTCCACGACCTCGCGCGAGCTCGCTGCCCGCTTGCGCCAGTAGGCCTGGAGCCACTGCACATGAAAGTTAAGGTTTAGGTTGGATACTGCCCCCATACAGTAACAGTCTATAATAGGGCTACTATTAAGGGCCTAATATATCTATTTTATGAATATTATCCAACTGTTACTGAGTGGGGGCAGTATCCAAGGTTTGGGTTTTAAGGCAGCTGGGCTCTTGTTAAGGAGCTTATATAATTGAAGTTACCATAATGAAGAAGGCATAGTATTTATTGTAGATGCCTATTCTGGTAGCTTAAATTTCTTAACAAGAACCCACGTAGAGGTGTTAGGCTTGAGTTCTGGCGATAAGGGCTGTGGGAGCGCTAAGCCCAATCGAGGCCTTGGGTGCGCTCGTCGCCCAAAGAGCCTAAGTTCATTGTCCGGATGTGCGGACTTCATTGCATGGACACTAAGGGTTCTTCTAAACGATGGGCTATTCCAGGAGCCACGAAAACGAGACTAGAGAAAAGTAGCTTAGCCATGCTTGGGTTTAGATGTTTAGCCATGCTTGGGTTTAGATGAGCCCCAGTGTCGCTTCCGCGACGAAGATGCAAAACTCAAGGCAGGAGACCCTGAATCCGATAAGGCACGAATACAAATACGGGGGCCGTGAATGTAAACCACTGACTATGCACCCCCCTTGCTAAGTCAGGGTTCTGACAGGTATGCGAATGACAACGGGTTTAGATACGAAGGGTCCGCATTGACCAAATAAAACCCTGAACGCGGAAACCCTCTAAAACCCTAAAGCCTTAAAACCTTTTATCGGCAACTACCCCACAAGGCCCAAGCGATTGCCTTGTTGAGTAGGTCCCACAGCTTTTGTCCTGTTACTCGGCCACAGCGTGCAATGAGGCGTCTGATGCAGCGTCATTAGTGGAAGCTGCTATTCACGCCGCCTGCGATGCCAAAGCTCCACGTAGGACTGTGGCTGCTGTGGCGGCCGCAGCAGTGTCGGCCGCTTTGTCGGCTGACATTGCCCGGCCTGCCAAGCAGTCACAGGACCCGGTGCCTCGGCGCGCTCCTGCTGACTCTTCTGTTCGAGCTTGGCCTGAAGCTGCGCGAGCGCAGGAAGGCCAAGCGGCAAAGGAAGCGACAGGCAAAGGCTGCTGCTGCTTGTCGCCAGGTTGCACATGACACGATGCAGCATGACATGGCAGACGTCGCTGGTGGTGAGTGTGAGGTCGCTGCCAATCCTCTCCATGCTGTTAGGCCGACAGCCCTTGATGACGACTCGTTGTCTGCACCTACGGCCGTGTCTCCCGACGCCAAGCGGAGCCGGTTAGATGGCGAGGGTGCAGGTCGGCCAGCAAGTTCGTCGATGACAGCTTCCACGGTCCAGTTTAGTGAGCTCCCATCTGCGGCTCCTGCCCCGGGATGGATACCTGAGGCATGGCGCCCCAACTTGTTGGTTTTGTCGATTCAACGCCTCCCAACGCATTCATCGATACTCGAGGGCGTGATGTGAGGATGAAACCTTCGAAGACCCCCTTGCCAAGTGAGCCCGTCAAAACTGGGAAGGCGCGGGGAAGTTAATTCGCTGGGGATGCAGCCTCCCCTTACATATTGTTGCATGTTTTTGCTCGCAGGCAATGCCTGTTCAAACTTACACGTGCTCTAAGTGGCCATGTGCAGGCCTGGCAAGCCTGTTTCAGCTTACCCGACCCAGACTTCGATCCGCAAAGCAAATACCCCGAAACCCAACACCCCCAACGTTCTAAGCTCTAAAGCCAGGCACGCCCAAAATCCAGCCTCCTCGGTCAGAAGCTGATCCGCTTGGTAAAACCTCGCTTCGACAAACACACTTTTGGGGGGTCAGGGGTCCTTCGTTTAGGGTGGTTACTCTAAGGGTACTATAACGTTCCTTCTGAGGCTTGCTGCAGTGGTTCCTTTGGGGCTTTAGCGTTTGGGGCTTTGGGCTTTTAGCGTTAGGGTCGGGGGAGGTTTAGGGTCTTGGGGTCCGGGTGTGCAGCCTGAGGGCTTCATACTGTTGATAGACGAAATCCTGCATGACCCTTGCGGACTCTAAACTATGGGAATTATGGTATATTCCTTATAATGGGTAATGCAGGATTTTGTCCATCAACAGTATAGTTCAAAGTTAGCCGATTGGGGCTTCTGGTTTCAGGCTTCAGGACGCGAAGTTGAGGGGCTCGATACCTGGGCTTGGGGTTTTAAGGGTTTGTGTGGGGTGCTTGGGGTCGTCAGGGTTGTTGGTTTTCGGGGGCCCTTAAGCATTTTAGGAGTTGCGCGTGTTTTGGATTGTTTGAATTTTTGAGGTTCTAGTTTAGGTTTCGCATTGTAGAACTTAGGGTTGTTTGGGGGTTGATGTTGCCCTGCAACTTAAACAACACCTTTCAACTCCTTTTAAGAGTCAAAATGACATTCAAGACTGTTTCCTCAATCATGATACGAAGCTGCATGATGAAACTATGGGCTATTGCATAGGCTGAGCATAGGTCTCTAGTCTTTAGTCAATCAGGGTTGAAATGCTCCAACAATCCATGAGATAGTGGGCCGTATCAAGGAACAACTGCTCGCGCCTGCTCACGGGAGCTTATCACCCATGCTTCAACTGAAATTGCGAGTATTTTTCCGTGTCTTCCTCCCATATAACTCAGAACCGAAAGAGCCCCCGTTAGAAGGCCCTGCTCCAACTATTCTTGGACCCTTTTTATCATAGGGTTAGGGTATAGGTTTAAGGTTTTAGTGTAGGAAAAGGCAGTCTCCGGGGATGCTTCGAAGGGGTTTCAGAGTCTAGTTTTTCGGGTTTTTGGAATTCAGGGGACCCTAAACCCTAAACCCTAAACCCTAAACCCCTTCATGGTATGGTTTTGGGAGGTTTTGGGGGCTTCAGGGTTTTTGAGCTTTATAGTGTTCGGCCCTGGGAGTTGTTGGGGGCTTCAGGGTTTTGGGGTTTCAGGGTTTAGGGTTTAGGGTTTAGGGTTTAGGATTTAGGGTTTAGGATTTAGGGTTTAGGGTTTAGGGTTTAGGGTTTAGGATTTAGGGTTTAGGGTTTAGGGTTTAGGGTTTAGGGTTTAGGATTTAGGGTTTAGGGTTTAGGGTTTAGGTTTGGGGCTGTAGAGGCGAACAAGAACTCCTTCAGGCCTTGTGAGGCAACTACAAGCCCCAAATTGAGCTCGAACCCTCGAAACGTAAACCCTAAACCCCTAAACCCGTAACCCCTAAACCCTGAACCACTAAAGCCCTAATCTCTGGGACAACGCCGAGGCGCCTCTCAACGCCCATGGTATTGATGTAGGCATCAGATGCGGCAACCTTTGGCAGGTAAGGGCTTCTTTACAGGAGCGGAACCCTTATAGGAACCCGGTGGAGGAGCCCTTAAAGGAGTTTCTTAAAGGAGCCCCATTCTTAAAGAAGCCCATTAACGGTTCCTGGGAGGCCAAACCCCAAACCCCAAACCTTCCCCGGATTGCCCAAGTGTGTTCCCGTTTGGGCGCAGCGCTTCGCAGTGGAGATGAAGGCTGATTGGGATTCATCTCAAGCTTCCTCTAAGAAATCAACAAGTCTTTTACGGGTTCCTAAGGGTTCTATATAGGGTTTTCCTTGAAGGGTTTTATGGGCATTTAGGGTTCTAGGTTTAGCATTGACGGATTTGGGTTTGTGCTTTGGGCCCGGGTACAAGGTTCTCGGGCACCGTCGGGATTGGAAACGGCTTTGAAGTTCGCACTATAACAATCACCAAGGGGCTACCATTGAATCAATGCGGGGCTTCTCGCGTCAGCTAGGTGCACACCAAAGCTGCGAGAAAAAAAGGTGTAAAACACAGTGCCGAAGTGAGCCTGGACCTGAGATCCTAAACCGTAAACTTCTAGCCTTAGGCTTGCACCCCTATTGAAGCACCAAACCCAAAATACCAGTTGAAAGTGCCGGCTCTGATCTTGTAGCCCTAAAGGCATCTTCCCCAGCTGCTCAACATAAGAAGTGTTGCTCTTCTCTTTGGGGAAGGAACTGATTCTACTTGGGAGCTACATGGGTGTGCGGATTTTGGGGCATCTTCAGAAAAAGTACCGCAGTATGGTCAACTAACTAGCCAGCCGACGAACCGACAGACATTATTCGGCTCCGTCCACCCAGCTACGTTCATGTCGTTTCATCTCATGCCATGTCATTTCATGTCAGCTCAGTTCTTTCCAAAACATTCTGCGGCATACATACATGCATACATGCATATCCATTCATTTAAAATTATGTACTTCCAATCCGTTCCGCTCGTTCCACCCATGCGGAGAGGAAAAAAACAAAATCAGGGGATGTTCCTGGTGTCTACGGCGGAGGTGTTCTCAGTAAATAAGAGGATGCCTCCGCGATGTGATTGCTTCGGGAGCAGCTGGGGAGAGCTTGGGGAGTGGGTTGGGAGTTATGTAGCTGGGGAGTGGGTTGGGAGCACTAAAGAAGATAACTGCTGAAACCGGCACTTGGCCCCTCCCGAAGCCGACCCGGATTCTTAAGGAAACCCGAACCGCCCTCCCGAAGACGACCCCGCTGCTTGCCCAAAAAGAATTCGGACCTGCATCCGGAAGAAGGCCCAGTTTGCAGAGCGAATTTGGCTTGAGGTGTGTCTTGGAGGGCGTTTGGCTTAGACTGGAAGGTAGTGAGTAGGTTGGGAGTGGTGGGTTGGGTAGAGGGTTGGGTAGAGGGGTAGAGGGTGGGAGAGGTCGGGAAAGGGTTGGGGGTGGGGGGGTTGGGAGGAGGTTGGGGAGGAGGTTGGGAGTGGGTTGGGAGGAGGTTGGGAGTGGGTTGGGAGGAGGTTGGGATGGGAGGAGGTCGGGAGGAGGTTGGGAGTGAGGAGTGGTTGGGAGTGGGTTGGGAGGAGGTTGGGAGGGTTGGGAGGTTGGGAGAGCGGGTTGGGAGGAGGTTGGGATGGGACTGGGAGGAGGTTGGGAGTGGGTTGGGAGGAGGCTGGGAGTGGGTTGGGAGGTTGGGAGGGTTGGGAGGAGGTTGGGAGTGGGTGGGAGTGGGAGTGGGAGTGGGTTGGGTTTGGGAGTGGGTTGGGAGGAGGTTGGGAGTGGGTTGGGAGGAGGTTGGGAGTGGGTTGGGAGGAGGTTGGGAGTGGGTTGGGAGGAGGTTGGGAGGAGGTGGAGTGGGGAGTGGGTTGGAGGAGGGTTGGGAGGAGTTGGGAGTGGGTTGGAGGAGGTTGGGAGTGGGTGGGTGGGTGGGAGGAGGTTGGGAGTGGGTTGTGGGTTGGGAGGAGGTTGGGAGTGGGTTGGGAGGAGGTTGGGAGTGGGTTGGGAGGAGGTTGGGAGTGGGTTGGGAGGATTGGGAGTGGGTTGGGAGGAGGTTGGGAGTGGGTTGGGAGGAGGTTGGGAGGAGGTTGGGAGTGGGTTGGGAGGAGGCTGGGAGTGGGTTAGGGGGAGTGGGTTGGGAGGAGGTTGAGTGGGTTGGGAGGAGGTTGGGAGTGGGTTGGGAGGGGAGATTGGGAGGAAGTTGGGAGAGAGGGTTGGAGTGGGTTGGGAGTGGGTTGGGAGAGGGGGAGAGGGTTGGGAGAGGGTTGGCACCCAACACCACGCTTACGAAGACGACCCAGAGAAAGCTGTGACCGAACACCACACTTACGAAGACGACCAAGCAAATATGCATACCCCAACACCGTTTCTTATATAGTGAGAACACCTACTTTGCAGACACCTGAAGAATGCGTGGACAAAACAGTCCCGAACCCCCTAAACCCTAAACCCTAGAACCTTGAACCTGACTCCTACGCCCCCCAAGCTGCCAAGCCCTTAGACACCTAAGCCTGAAGGCAACCCCAAAACCCTAACATAGAGGCCTTCATATTCCAAACTAGTACAAGTAGTTATTTAGGCCCCTATTTTTAAAGCCCCTTGTAGGCAGCTCGCCTTGAGCAAGTCAGGGTTCTCTTCGCTGGTGCCGGCAACCACGCCTGCTTCATGCTGTTGAGGGTTTAGGGTGCAGTTTTTATGTTCTGGGTGACAGGATCAGGATTATCAAGATCGTAGAGGCATTGTTCGTTTAATGACTAGCGTTATGAAGCAACTGCTACTACTTCCTCTTCGACTACTACGACGACTACGACTACGACTGCTGCTGTCGTTGCTGCTGCACTCAATTGCGAAATGCCATCGTGCAGCGCCCAGAACTTCCAAAGAACTCCAATCCGAATATCCCTGCACCCTCGGCTCTAAGCCACAAAATGCTGAAGATCCTTACCGCGGCTAGTCAACATGCACCTCTTCTGCAAGCTCTACACAACTCCCAGCTCCTGCAAGGTTCAAAACTGCTGATGTCCGCCATGAACACAACTGTTAAGGTTTAGGGTTCACGGCTTAGGGTTTAAGAGTTGACTAGTCCAGGCCGTTTTGTCGGCACAGGTCCAGCGCAACCAACAGCGCAAGCCACCCCGAAGCCAAGAGAGGCAAATGCGAAAAGCCCGCCGCGCCATGTCAGCCTACCATTCAACTTGGATCCATGCGCCGCAACGCCAAAGACCTTCAAAACCCCGCCTCACGATTCCGACACTTCAACAACCTTAAGCACAAAACTACAAGGCTGGATAGACACCCGCACGGCCCCAAATCCCCAAATCTTTACAATTCCAGAAGCCAAGTTGCCAAGACCCCGAGGCCACTAAGCCTTCCGAACCCTAAAGTCGGCCTGCCAAGCCATTCTGGTCTCGAACTTTGTCGAGACGGTGGAAGCCTCCAACCAAGCCTCCAAGGGCTTTGGGGGGCTTGGGGCTTCAAGGCCTAAATCAAGGGGGTTCTTTCACGTGGTCATAGTATAGCATTCCCCAAAACCTTAGTCTTATCAGTAAGGCCCCTATATTACGGGCTCAGATCTGAAGGCTCAGGTTCAGGCTGCAAGGCTTCGAAGGCTCAGTGTTCAGCCCATGAGGTTGTAAGCTTTGGGGTTTCGGGGCCTGGGATTGAGGTTGAGGCCTCGTTGGGGCTTAAGATGTTCTTGGAATTCAGACTTCGCTATAACAACAACTGCAGAAACTGCAACTTGGCGATTTCTGCCGGCCAAACAGCAAAGCGCCACAGGGGGATAACATGGAGACTGACAGAGCAACGGAAGGCTTCCAGAAACAAGGAAGCAGAGGAAGCAATGAAATAAGCTGGGGAAAGACAAAGTTCACACAGTTGCAAGGAAGCCAGCAAGCCAGCAAGCCAGGCAGCCAGCAAGACAGCCAGCCAGCAAGCAAACAAGCAAACAGAAAGAAATGCACACAAGGAAACGGAACCACAGGCCGCTATGAAGCGTGTGAGAAGATGCAGGAAATGTAGTCGTGTGGAAAGAGTGTTGCATTTCTGGTAGGTGTGTTCAAAGAGAGTGTGCTGAAATTCTGGACAGCAGTTTTCAGGGACACCGAAAGAGCTGCGTTTGCAGGGACACCGGAACAGCGGCGTCCAAGGCGCTACACCCTGAAACCTTATGTAAGCACAGGAAGCTAAACCCCAAACCCTAAACCGTAAAATACTAAACCCAGAACGCAAAAGCACTGCACCCTAAAACCTCCAACCCTAAAATAACCCCAAGCCCTAAACCCCAAACCCTAAAACCCCAAGCCCTGAACCCAGGATGAAGTTGCCGAGGGGCTTTCCAAGGCAGCAGGAGCTGGGGTCAAGACGACATCCGGCTTGGGCCTCAGAGGCTGTGGGGATTGGGCTCGGGGGTTTGGAGCTTAGGATTATTAGGGTTATATAAGGGTTTCGGGGGGGTTATAAGCTTTCAAACGGGTTTTAGAACGTTACAAGTTTAGTTTGGAGTCTGTGTTGGGCTGTAGACTTTAATCTCATTACCCTAAACCCCCAAGCCATGAACGCCAGACTCCAAAAAGGACTGAAACCCAAGACCCAAAGACCTCAAAACCTGTTTCAGGTCTGGGACCCGGGATGAGAATTTATGGTTGGAGGATTGGATGTGTGGCATTCGCAACAACCGCTTTGCGAGGACTTCCTATCAAAACGCCAGCGTTCGGGGGCTCGGGCTAAGCGTTGAGATCTTGAAGGCTTTCAGCTTGGGATTCAGGACTGAAGGTTTAGGTTTTGGATTTGCGTGGTTATTCTGGAAGTTCACTCGGCTTTGCTGCGTCAACAGTGCCAAGTTCTTCTGGCTGTACATTGTGCTCGATATGCAAAGGCCCCCATCGGTTCGACTTGACATGGATAGAAGACCACACTCCCGGCCTGAAACTTCGATCCGGGGCCTTAAAAAGGGGTCTATAAGGAATCTATAGCAGGGATCTACAGTATAAGGGCCTTCATAATCAGAGTAGGGGTTTTGGGACCCATGAAACTATAAATACAAGAAGGAACCGCCAAGGTAGTATTGGTAGTGAGTTAGGCCCCGGTACTAGCTTGAATGCATGAGCATTTGTGGCGTTTGGGAGCTTAAGGCTTTAGGGCTGGAGTGCTCAGTGTAGGGTCGAAACCCTACGCCTCAAACTGAGCTCTAGCCCTAAAGCCCCCCACCCCCCCCAAAAAAACTCTAAATCTCAAACCCTCAAACCCCAAGCTTCAGTCACCCTAAACCCCAAGCTTCAGTCACCTTAGCGCCTTAGCCAAAATGCCATGGAGTCTGCAGGCAGTTGTCCGGCAGTTTGTAAAAGCTTCCACGGAACCTTAGTTGATCAGTGCCTCTTCCAGAGTTTGGGGGTTTAGGGCTCAGAGGTCGAGGGTTTCGGCTTTAGGGCTGTAGTGTTTTTTTTTTTGGCTGTAGTGTTTAGGGTTTAGGGTTGACGGAGGTATAGCAGCCGAGGAGGAACTTTGAGCGCACGAAGCTCAGGGTTTTGTTTCACTAGGGTCCTGGGCGTAAACCTTCGGGCTTTGGGTTTAGGCTGCATGGTAAGGGCCGTCATAACCAAGCAGAAAAAATTAGCATCTTCGGAGTCGTGGCTTTTGCTATAGTCCTGTGTCTGGGGCTTAGGAGCAAATCCCCCAAGCTCTACGCACCAACCCCTGAACCTAGAAGTACCGAGGGTGGACTACCAAGGATGAGCTCTAGGCCAAGCGTCTCCACTTGCCAGTAGCCATTCGGAAGCGCGTCGTAGAGGGTGCCTGGCGCAAGTCGAAGAAGCATAAGGAGCTCTTAAACCGTTAACCCCGAAACTTGCCCTGAACCCTAAATCCGACCCTACGCTCAAGGGACGGTTGCGACTGACAGTCAACAGGACGGTGGCATGCTGTAACGACCGGCTCAAGCTCATGAGCTCAGCGATAATCCTATCGTTTACGATTCAGATTCGGGGTGCACAGTATGGGGTTTTGGCGTGTAGCCGTGTAGCCCTGAGAGCCTGAACCAACAAATCAGAACGACCCAAGCCCGAATCCCTCTGCACAACAGGCCCGCAACATTGGCAGAAACACCCTTTCTCCCTTCCTGTCCCTGTCCCTCACCACCCCAGTATCGTCAAGGCTCCAGATCCGCAATCCTCAAGACTTCAATCGGTATGCTGCGCAGCTCCTAGATATCTTCCACCAAAACCAACATACATGTATTTGGCACACATCTGTGTATGCATGTGATATATATATATATATATATATATATATATATATATATATATATGTATATATATATATATATTATATATATATATGTATACACATTTATATATAATATATATTATGTTATGTGTGTATGTATGTATGTATACATATATATATATATATATATATATATATATATATATATATACATACACATATATGCATACACCTGTTTACATACACACATGTACATATATGTATATATGCAGAGAAAACCATTCACTACGGGTCCGAGTTTTTGTACATTCTTAGAGTGCACACAAGCAAGTAAACTACCATGACGAGCGTCAACAAACGCTCGTGGTGCTGACGTTGTCAAACCGTTCAATTAATTGGCGATGGGACTTTAGCATGTATATGGGTGCTGCTCTAACCCTAAACCCTAAACTAGGTCCCCACCTATCAGTGCAGTGCTATAGCAGGTGCGCTTCGTGAGGACCTCAACCCCCGGCCCCTGTCAAACCTGTAAACCCCTTGTTATACCCCGAATAAACACCCTGTGTACCCGTTTTGACGCCCTTGCACCCTTATAAGACCCTTATGATTCTGGGGCCCTTCTGGAACCCCCTGTAATGACTCTCCCCCAGAAGGGTTCCATTTAACGGCTTTAGTTTTCAGGCGGTTCCCTTAAGGGTTCCTTCAAGGCTTCCCTTCAGGGTTCCTTTGAGGGGCAACACCTGCGGGTCGGCCTTGTACTTGTGCCGCAGGGCTAAATGGCAGTGTATTTTGGACCTCGCAGGGTTTCAGGGTTTTAGGGCTTAGAGCTTTAGGATTCAAGGTTTTAGGTTTTAGGGTTTAAGATTTGAGATTTAGGGCTTCAGGTGCTGAGGCTGGGGTTGGGATTCCAAATTTTAAAGTGTCTTTAAAGGTTCCTTTACGCGATCTATCGCAGTTTGGGGCTTCTGTGAGAGGAAGACGTGCAAATCTCCAAAAGCTCCTCATGCACAAACGCGGACCCCAGCATCGACTCCTCTGTTCTTTGGTGTTTTTGGTTTGAGGCTTCGGGCTTAGGGGGCTTAGGGGGGTTACTTGGAGGGTCGGGGGACTTAGAAAGTAGGTAGTAAGTAGACTTATAAGTACCCTAAAAGGGACCCTAATTGGGGTTATGGTACTTATAAGTCCCTAAAATAGCCAGTTACTAAGTCCCCCGACCCTCCAAGTAGGGGCTCAGGGCTGAGGGCTCTAGGGTCGGGGTTCGGTGCTTGAATCAGCGACAGCAGGACCTGCAGGCCTAGATGCTGGGGGTTTAGGGTTTAGGGTTTAGGGTTTCGGGTTTCGGGTTTAGGGTTTAGGGTTTAGGGTTTAGGGTTTTAGGGTTTGCGGTTTAGTAATTTAGGGCCTTCAAGATTTGGGGCTTGGTTGGTGTAAAGCTTTCGGGGAACTACATGTTTCGAACAAGCAAAGCTCGTATATAAACCTCAACCCAACCCCAACCCCAAACCCACCCTAAACCCTAGACCCCTAAACCCTAAACGTAAGAAACCTTGAAGGCCCTTCTCTGCTTTGTAGCTCAGTTCCGACCCACGGGGCCTGCTAAGCCCGACCCCAAACCCAAAATCAAAAATCCGGAACACTCTACACTCATGTAGGGGCCCTGTATGTCTTAAATAGGGCTTAGGGGTACATTATACTATACTTATAATAAGGAGCCCCCCAAAATAGTATTGGTAACTATTGCGGCCCCTATGTTAAACTACCCCAAACCTACCCTAAACCCCTGAACCGTCTAGCAACCCAAAAAGCCTAGCACTCTCATGTCCTGGGAAAGCCAATCCCCTGCAGAGCCCCTGGCATTCCAAGGCCACTTCGCAACCTGCGCCACTGCGTTGAAGTTTGGGGCTCTAGCCCAAACCCCGAAAGAGACGCCTCCGAGAGACTACAAAACCTCTACGGAAGGACCCTTTGCGGCGTCTGTGAGAGAGTCTTTGAGGATTCTTGGAGGATTCCTGCAGGTGGGTGCTACAAGGTTTCCAGAGACTCCAAAACTCCTCAAGACAGTCACCACATTCCTGCATAAAGTTTAAGGGGTTTCGCAGCCTCTGGACTTTAACGGCTGAGAGTATTGAGGTACTGGGGTGGTTGGGTTTATGTTCTACGACTGTAAAAAAGAATGACCCTCGCCGCCATCACTCCTCTCGCCATGACTTAAGAAAGGGTTTCGGGATTTGATTAAGGTATTTTTGAACTCCTTTTTGATGAGGGTTTTTTTAAGCTCCTTTTTCTTCGATTAGGGTTTAAGGCTAAGGGTTTAGAGCTTAGGGGCTAGGGGCATCGATGTCACTCCGTTGGTTGGAGGGCTGCGTGCTTCGGGAAAGGCATGGATCATGGCCCCATCTTCCGGGTACCCCAGAAAGGAACCCTTGAAGCACCGGTTTAGGGTTTAGGGTTTAGGGTTTAGGGTATGGTTTAGGGTTTAGGGTAGCCCCTTACAGGAACCCTGATGCTACCCTTAAAGGCTCTGGGAAAGGGCTGAAGACCGGAGTTCACCTCAGAGGTTATGAAGCTTTAGGGCTCGTGGGTTCAGGATACCGATACTATTTTAAGGGGGGGTTCCTTATTATACATATTGATTATAGCATAATATTCCCCCAAACCCGTGAGGAGATCGGATTTCGGTTGGGGTTCGGGGTTTTCGATTTTGGGGGTAGCGGAAGGCTTTGGGCTTTGGGCTTAAGGTTAGCAGGTGCAGGCTTTCGGATGGCAGGGGTTGGCGCTAGGGATTACAGCCTGGAAGTCCGTAGTTCATGTCTTCAAGAGAAGTCGCGCCCCGAGCCCTAAGCCCTAAAACCCAAACCCTGAAGCCCTAAACCTTAAGACCTCAAACCCTAAACCTTAAGACCTTATAAAGCCTAAACCCCAAACCCTGAAGCCCTAAACCCCAAGACCTTAAACCCTAAACCCCAAACCCTGCAGCCCTAAGCCTTAAGACCTTAAACCCTAAACCCCAAACCCTGAAGCCCTAAACCTTAAGACCTTAAACCCCAAACCCCAAACCCCGAAGCGCTAAAACTTAAGACTTTAAACCCTAAATCAAAAAAAAAACGAACCCTTAGACCTAAGCCCTTGGACCTGGGCCCTTCCACCGTCGCTCTGAATCCTTCAACCCCAAACCACAGAGAGCCCAAGGGTTTAGGGTTTAGGGGTTTAGGGGTTTAGGGAGTTGGGGTTTAGGGGTTTAGGGGTTTAGGGGAGCATCGTTCGCAAGGCCGCCGCTGCGCACACCTCCCAAACGCCTTTACCCGAAGGCTCCATAGTAGTTCCTGTTTGGGGGTTCATATCTAGAATCCTATGAGGCAATCTCAAAAAGGAACTACTATGGAGCCTCTGGGTATTGAGGCTTTGGATTTAGGGTTTAGGGAATGCTGCAAGGATTTAGTGATTTACTACAAACGAGCTTCCCGCCACCCTAAAGCTCCGAACTTCACGGCTTTGGGGTTCAGGGCTTTTAGGGCTTAGGATTGCAATAATCACCAATACTATGTTTGGGGTTCCTTATTATAACTCTAGTAGAATATGCCTCACCACCCTAGTCTAACTACTAAAGCCCCCTAAAATGAAACCCTAAACCCTAAACCCTACAGCCCCCTAAAATCAGCGCGCCTTCACGGTGTCGCCCGGTAGGAGCGGCCGCTCAAGCTGATCCTCGACCGCCTGCATTGCCTCAGTCGGGCTCTGCTTAGATTTGGGCGTGGAGTTTAGGGTTTAGGGTTTAGAGTTTAAGGTTTAGGGTTTCAAGTTGAATCCAGAGTTTAGGGCCTCAGAGTTGGGCTTAGAGCTTAAGGTTTGTGGTTTAAAATTTACTTTCGAGTCTTGGGGTTTAGGGTTGTTTAGGGCTGCAGGGGTTCAGAGTCTACGGTTCAGGACCGCAAAGCTGGGGTCTATGAGCTGCAAGACAAGAGGCCATCTCTCCCTGGCGCACGATGTAGCTGAGCTTAAAGCCAGGTCGAGGAGGACAGACACCTTCCAGTCGCTTTCAAACCCCGAAGTCTGAAACCCTCAACTCCCAAACCATCAAACGCAAAAACCCTCAAATCCCAGAACCCTCGAACTCTAAATCCTCATAAAGATCTACATGTAACAGCATAAACCTGGAAGTCTCCGACCAGTATGTGCTCAGTCTTCGAAGTTGGGCAGCGGAGGGCGGGGAAGGTTTAGGATCGTGCATACTATAGGGGCCTTAATAACCAGAATAGGGTTTGGGGGGCCATTATCATACGATACATATAATAAGGAACCCCCAAAATAGTATTGGTGATTATTTAGGCTCCTATGTTATTGTCTATCTGGCGGCGTATGGGTCTCTTTTCAAGGGCTTCAAGCTAAAGGCTTCCATTGCTATAAGCGTCATACATGGGCTTGAGAAGGGGTTCAGGGCTCAGGCGACGGGATAGGCTGTAGGACTAAGCCCTAAACCTTAAACCCACTGACCATTCTTTAAGGTCTCTTTGTGCATACACAGTCTAGCCCGCACTTAAACCCCAAACCCTGGAAACGCCTCAAAACCCTACCTTCACCCCTGGACCATAGCAAACCTGAAAACCCTAAGCTCCCTGAACCCTGGCAACAAGCCAATACACCAAACAAAACCCTAAACCCTAACTCCCGAAACCCCTAAACCCTAAAACCCGAAACCCTATGAATTCAATCATCTCCTTGGACCCTTTGTCACCTTGACCTACAGCCTTGCCTGGGGTCTTTGTACTGCCAGCAAAACCTCCGAAACTCTTTTTCGAACAAACCGAATATCGGTCGGATTGAGGGCAGGGTTTGGTGTCAGGTTTAGGGTTTGGGGTTTAGGGAGGCCGAGAGTCCCAAACTAGGATTAGAGCACGCAGCTCCCGATAAAATCCAATCCGTCCGAAAAAATCCTAGACCCCTAAACCCTAAACCCCCAAACCCTAAACCCTCTTGTCCAACCCCAGAACTTTGCCACGGCGGGTTTGCCAGGGGTTCTAATGCCTTTCAGGGGCTTTTGTCGTAGTGGAATGCACCCTAGTGCTTTGGGGTGTAGGGTTTAGGGTTTTTTTTTTTTACACGTGCTAGACCCGACCCTCCCATCGAATCCCCTCACGCAGAGGCACGCAGTGAAACATAATTGGTTTGGGGCTTAGGGTTTGGGGTTCAGGTTTTGGGCTTCGGCTTTAAGGTTTAGGATTTAACTCCCAGCCCCAAACTCCATGCCCGAGGCGCTGTCAACGGTCCAGAGGCCGGGAGGCGTGTGCCAGCTGGGCGCAACATTCAAGGTTTGGGGCTTTATGGCCCAGGAAGGCTATGCAGAATTCCAAAATGATGGCCTGAACATTTACCAATAATATTTGTGACGGTGCTCCTTTACATTTCGGGCTGGGGAACACCCAAGCCCACAGATTTCTGAAGCCGCAATCGGGAATCTGCCGTCCAAAAACGCTCAACAGAGATCTTTAATGTGCACCTGAACCCTATATAAACCCCTGAAGGAACCCGTAAAAGCGCTGACATTCGACCATCTTGAGAATCCTTAGGTACACATCCCAAGCCCTACAAGACACCCCCAAAAGCCCAGGCCCCCAGTTCCCAAATTGCAAACCCCAGGCCCGAAAACTTGGGGTTTAGGGTTGAGCGAACCTCAGCCCTCAAAACCCACATAAACCCCCAAACCGAAGGGTCATGAAAACCCCAAACTGAAACCCTCCGAGGCCCGCAGTGGTGAAACCCGCGACCGAGTGGCTGTTGCGGCTTGTACCGCACCACGTTGCCCGCTCGAAACCTCCCCTCGCCCGGCACTGCCTTGTCTGCCGAAATTCAGGCTCGGCTGTTAAGCGCGTGATTGTTTTGAGGGAGGAGGGCAGCGGGCGTTGGGATTTCGGGTTCACGCTTCAAGGTCTTCGGGTTTTTTGCTTCCTCTTGGGGGGATTTCTGCTAAGCGCTCCTCTATGGCTTCCCAGATTGAAAGGCTCATATAGGGGGAACCTGTAAAGGCTCCATGAGGGTTCTTGGGTTTGAGGGTTGAGAGTTTGGGATTTTTGGGATTTGGGCTTTGGGCCATCTTGCGTCTCAGACTTGCGACTGCTGCAACTGCTCCAACAAAGGCTTTACCATAAACCTGGTTATTGACCCCCATTCTCCAGTATAAACCTGGTATACCCAGAGGTTTCATAGTAGTTCCTTTTTGGGCTTACCTTTTGGATTCTATATACGAACCCCAAAAAAGAAATACTTTGGGGCCTTAGGCATAATCTAAATCCTCAAAAACCGTCGAATCCCAAAGTCGCACCCAGAGGCCCTCTAGTCCAGAGCCCAACCAAAACAAAGCGACAGCAAAAACTGCGCCGTAGGCTATATAGGCTGTTTAGGGTTTAGGGTTTAGGGTTTAGGCTTGGGCTTACTTTTGGTTAGTAGGGAATGGAAGAATGGTAGTAATAGTAGTTGTAATTATACCCCATTCCTCCAATCCCAACTAGCCAAGGGTAAGTATAGGCTTAAGTGTAGGATTTTGAGATTTTGGGGCAAGCTCAATAGAAACCGAAGATGCGCCACTGCGTAGGAACCACTTGATACGCCCCAGCATAAACAGCTAAGCCTCGAGCTGACAACACACCTGTGACAAAATCTCATGCCTACTGAGACGCAAACAAAACACCCCATAAACTCTATCAAGCCCATTAACGCAAGCCCCAAGCCCCTAAATCCTAAATCCTATAAACCCTAAACCCTGAACCCCAAACCCAAAAACCGGTGGCGAGGCGCGGATGCCCTGGGTGCCAGCTTGGCAGCTTCTGCGCTTCTATCCGCCTGTCTCTGAAGGTTTTGAAAAGAATTGAGCTTGGCCTCTGCTGTAAAAGAGTCCTAATTATAAGTTATGAGTTTAAGGGGGGGTCTAAAAAAGAGTCGTACAAGTTATAAGATTGAGGGGGCCTAAAAAGAGTCGTTCAAGGGGGTCTATGCTTGCTTTACAAAGGTTGTTAGAGCGGTGCTATAGAGGCGTCTGCTCTTGGGATAAGGATTAATAGGCATCCATGGGCTTGAGGGTTTAGGGCTCCAGCCTCAGATAGCTTCTTTGAGAGTTTGGGAGTGAAGGGTTTTGGGGATTTAGGGATGGCTTCATCTAGGCGTCGAGTACGGTGTACCAAAAGTGTCGAGGGTTCAGGGTTGAAGTGCTTCACCATGAGCACCCCGACAGAGGCTCCCATATCCATCCCAGGACAAACCTTACATGAGGGCTGCTCCAAGCCGGGCAGGTGGGGTTGAGGGTTTTCAGCTTTCTTTCAAAAGCGATGTTTCGGACTTTTCCTGAGCTCAACCATTCACCCCCTCAACCCGTGGCCGTGAGAACGTACTCTGTGCCCTGCACCTTGGCTTATCGGTTCACGGGCATGGATGCGGAAGAGGGAGTGTATATTATGGCATAATTGTATTCTAGGGGCTGTAGGGGCACAGTAAACAGATGATCCCGAGAAAATGGTCAAAACCCCTACAATCAATTTGGTACAGCGGTCTCTGTCAAAGCTAGCAGCCTACTAAGGGCACAAGCTGCCTCAACACCTTGCCAAACCCTAAACCCTGGACCCTGGACCCGGAACCCCTAAACCCTAAACCCTGAACCCTAAACCATAAACCATAAACCATAAACCATGAACCCTGAACCCTGAACCATAAACCCTAAACCCTGAACCATAAACCCTTAACCACTGAAGCCTGAACCCTAAATCCGAAGCCCCTAGAATCCCTAGAAGGGTCTGCTTCGGCATTTTCCCAAAAGGAGCTGGTGGTCTCGGATCTGTAGTCTATAGCGTGACTGCCTGCGCGAAAGCCCTGAACCCGCAAGCCGAAACCTGAAACCCTAACTGCCTGATGTAGGATTAGGGCTCCTTTAAAGGGGTCTATAAGGGTTACTATAAGGGATCTATAAGGGTACTATAATAATGTAGGAACCTGATTAAGAAACCCTGGGCCTATAACCCCAGAATAGTAGGATTCATAAAAAGGAACCCTACTAAAAAGGAACCCTAACAAAGGCCCAAGGTTTCTTGATCAGGCTCCCACCTAAAGTAACTAGTTCCTTAACCCAAGAAGCCTGAATCCTCCAGTGAGATCCGAAAACTCTAAACTTCTTCAATTCCGAGCATATAGGTCCGACGAACTCTAAAAACCGAAATCCTGAACCCAAAGCCGTGCACCGGTCCTCGGTGATAGAGGCTTCTGCGGACAGCTTCCTTCTCTGCGCATCCTTGGCCGACATTGGGGTGTGGGGTTTAGGGTTTTGGGGTGTCGAGTTGGGGGTTTCGGATTTTATAGGGTTTAGGGCTTATAGGGCTTATAGGGTTTATAGGGTTTACAGGGCTTATAGGGCTTATAGGGTTTATAGGGTTTAGGGTTTATAGGGTTTAGGGTTTATAGGATCTATAGGGAGTTTCCGGCTTGGGCTGTTGGGTGTAGGGTTTCGGTGTGTTGGGTTTGGGGGTCTGGCGTTTACGTTTAAAGCTGTCAGGTTCGGGTTTAGGGTTCAGGGCTGAGGGATGTGTCGGGGTTAGGGTGTGGGTTGTCCGGAATTCATCTGGGAAGCTGCCGACAATAGAGTACCCTAACACGAAATAGTAGGATCCTCATATTCCAAGGACCCCAAAATGAGGTACCCCAAAATTTCCGGAAACTCCCATCTGGGGCTTAGGGTGCAGAGATTGGGGAGAGCTGCGTGGAGCTTCCGAGAAAGAAGGGCCTCCTTTCAGATATGCTTCGATCTTGAGGATCCTTAAGGGTTCTAGGGTTTAGGGTTTACACAAGTAAAGCCCGAACCCTAAACCCTAGACAGGGTTTAGGGTTTAAACCCCAAACCAACGGTTGGTTTAGGGTTCACACTTGTACTAAAGGGAACTCCAGAAAGTTGGAATATGGTTACGGTTTCAGGGTAGGATACCCTATAATTTACCATAAAGGGTTTAGGATAATCATATTCCAACTTTCTGGCTTTTACTTTACGCTTAAGGGTTCATAGTTGAGGATTCCTTCTCCTTCGAAATCCCTCATGCTATGGTTTCACGCTGCCGCGCCGACCCCAGGTCGCTCCCAGGTCCCCCCGGCTACACTGAGTTGTCCTTTAAGCCCTTTGAAAATTATTTACTACTATGGTTCTCTACAAAATAGTAGGGGAAATTAAAACAGATCCCAAAGGACAACCCAGCACATCATGTTGTAGAAAGTCGGGACTGAGAGGTTTAGGGTTGAGCATTGAAGGATTCAGGTTCAGGGAGTATTACTACTCAGGCTCCTGCATGACATATGGGAGTTTCCGGAACTCCCATACCTTGACGTGTTCAAAACCGGTTCGATAGAGCTGCTGCAGGCCTTTCTAATTAGAGCAAGCTCCTTCAACAAGGAAATTACCGTAAGGTCTAAAGGAGCCCTAAATCGGCCAGTTTCGGAAAACAGCTAATCGAAGTATGCCAGGTAGTAGGATCCTTGTCAATTGCAAAGGCGCGCAGAAAAAGCGTCCCTACGTCAACAGAATCGCCAGAATGTAAGGATCATTGTCATGGAAAAGCAGAACAAGATGTCATCTCATTGTCTGCCCAAATTTCTCAGTTCGCACAGTCATGGGGAGCACGAGTGTGGTCGGAAACGCGTGTGGATTGGCCCGGATCTCCATCTCCAAGCGAGTATAATCTTTCGTGTGTAAGGGTCAGCTGCATGGATCAGGCGTGCACATTACGTACATCCTAAACCTGAAGGCAACTGGTAGCATGAGGGCAAAACGAAAAAGACCACGAACTAGCCCCTTCAACCTTCGCAAGCAATTTCGAGTTTAAGGTTTTGAGTTTAAGGATATGGGGTTTGGGGAATTACGTGCAATAGAAACGGTTCAAAAAGCTGTGATGTGTTCCTGCGTTACCGCCATGATGCCGGCGGTAACCGCCCTGAGCAGCCCAAGTAACCGAAGCTCTTAACGAACAATAGCGCATCTTCCTCGTCGCCCGGATTATTTTGGAGCCATCATATTCACAAGCCTCACAACCCTAAACCCCAACCTTTCTCAACCCCCGCGCAAACCCAAGATCGGAAAATATGGACCGAAACCCCCCCACCCACCCCGGCAATGCGGAGTCCCCAAATAAATTCCGTCTGAGATCTGTCAGCTTCAGGTGGGAGTGATCCCGTTGCTGCCTCGCCTGGAGACGAGACTGCGGGCTTCCGGGGATGTTGTATCAAGCCTCTGATCACTGGGCCCTAAACCCCAAACCCTAAACTCCTAAACCCTAAATCCTAAACCCTAAGCCCCTAAACCCCTAAACCCTAAACCCCCCAAACGTAGCGCTTCAAGGCACAGGGCTGGTTCTGGTTCTAGCTTGTTCAAGGCTGCGCGATCAGTCGTTGAAACTGTTTCTTGCTCGGGCCGTAGGTCTGGAGTCTCCCATAGGCCCCTGAACCATGGGACTCCAGGAGGGACCTTCGCACCCAAGCCGGTTTAGGGTTTAGGGTTTAGGGTTTAGGGTCTAGGGTCTAGGGTTTAGGGTTTAGGGCTTAGGGTTTAGGGTTTAGGGTTTAGGATTTAGGGTTTAAGGTTTAGGGTTTAGAATAGTAATCTTATACCCAAGACCCTTTTCTTATGGTCCTTCAGCGAAAGCCGACCTCTCAAGAACATAGCTTTATCACAGCGACCACGTGCACTAGCATGGCCCTCGCCCGACCACGAATCAGAGAGTAGATCCGAAAACCAAGAACCCTTAGTCTGGCTCACTTGCTCAGAATACCTAGACCTGAAAAGCAAACTGGGTTCTTGATAAAGGATTTCATTGAAGTTACCATAATAAGGAACCATATTTTTTACAATAGATCCCTAATTATTAAGGTAACTTAAACTAAATCCCTTAACAAGAACCCAGACAAGATCATTGCGCTGAGAAGTCTCCCTTATACTGTCTGGGAAAAGGCAGCTGAGCCGAGCCATCTGGGACACCAATATAATACCCTTAATAGTAGGATTCCTATTGTAAGGACTCCAGACAAAGGTACCCCTACTTTTCGGGAAAAGGCAGCTGAGCCCACTAAACCCTAAACCCTAAACCCTCTCTATCAAAGGAACCCTAAACCCTATTGGATTTCGCGGCCTGCTCCATTTTGTTCTGGTGACTGCGCAGTGCCTTGACTGCCGCGTCACGCTTGGCCGTGAGATCGGAACCAGCCTGGTTTGGGGCTTAGGGTTTAGAGTTTAGGGTTTAGGGTTTGGGGTTTAGGGTTTATGGTTTAGGGTTTGGGGCTTGAGGTTTGGGTTTTTTTTTGTTTTTTGGGGTTTGGGGCTGGGGTTCAGGGTTTAGGGTGAAAGCCGTTTAGGGTCTACGCCTAACCCTGCCGGGTTTAGGGTTTCTGAACCTGAACCCCCCAAGAAAGCCAAGGGCTGCATGACTTCGATTTACGGATGAGCTAAGGATTCGTCCCAAAGTTTGGGGGATTTGAGGTTCAGGGAAAGATGGCTCGGGCTTGATCCAAGGCGATTCAAAAAACGGCTTGCCCCGGGGCCCAGGATGCCACAGCTTCGCAAGAATGAGTTTAGGGGTTTAGGGTTTAGGGTTTAGGGTTTAGGGTAAGCCGGCTGTGAACATCCTCTTTTGCATACGTGTAGCCTACTTGCCCACTCTCAACGTCCTGCAAGCAAGCACCAAACGACCCAAAACTTCTACACCCTACACCCCAAAAAACCTGAGCCCCTAAACCCCAAACCCCTAAACCCTCAGCCATCTTTTCCAGAGGATTGTGCTTCCGGCCTTTAGACTGCCTGAGCCCAGGCTTTTGGAGTTGGGATCCATTGGCACCTTGGGGCTTAAGGTTTAGGGCTTAGGGTTGTTATAGGGTTATAGGCTATAGGGTCTAGGGTTGTTATAGGGTTATAGGCTATAGGGTTTAGGGTTGTTATAGGGTTATAGGCTATAGGGTTTAGGGTTGCTATAGGGTTATAGGGTTTAGGGTTATAGGGTTCAGGGTTTCTAAGAGAAATTTTTGGGCTCAAGGTTTAGGGATTAGAGGCTCGGGGTTTAGGGATTACGCCTCGGGTCCGGGGTTTAGGGTTTAGGGTTTAGGGTTTAGGGGTTCGGGTCTCTTCACCATGGAGTTGGGGGTCTCGGGAGCCTGGTGACAATTGAAAGGCTTCGTCTAGAAGAGTCTTGAGGAGGCTGCTCCAACATGGGCTTCCCCCTGTCAGAAGACCTTCGGAGGACCTGTGTGAACGCTTTTTTCAAAACCCCAACATCTCTCCTTGGGCATCTGAGTTTCGGGTTCTGGAGTTCAGGGTTGAGGGATCATCAGTGCAAGACGAGAGTTGCACGTTTATTGTCTGGCACACGATGTCCAAGCACAACGTTCCTGCACAGCAAGCATGACACTGTTGATTGAGACCGCATGCGACACCGGCATTGTGGCGGTCGAACGGAGCACGGAACTCATGTTGTTAATGCTGCACTGAGCATCTTCGCCGAGATCGGCATGCAACTCCAGCGCACGTGGTAGTGGAAGTGGTAGTGGTAGTGTAGTGGTAGTGTACTGGTAGTGTAGTGGTAGTGGTGATGGCAATGGTAGTAGTGGTGGTAGTGGTGATTGCAGCAGGAGCAGTAGCAGTAGCCCCATTCAATCCCCCCAACAAAGCGGCCCAAGGCCAAAAACCTGTAGCTACCCTAAACCCTAAACCCTCAACCCCAAAATCCTAATAAAACCCTAATCCCTAAACCCACACCCAAGCCCTGAACCCTAAACCCTCAAACCCTAGACCCTTTCTCCCTGCTAAATGTCAAGGCACGTCTTCCTGGTCGTCCTCCAAAGCGCTGCCGCTGCTTTCGCCATCATCGGAGCCGAAGATTTCGAAGCCCTCTTGGGTTTGGGGTTTGGGGTTTAGGATCTTGGGTTTGGGGTTTGGGGTTTAGGATTTGGGGTTTAGGGTTTGGGGTTCAGGGTTTAGGGTTTAGGGTTTGGGGTTTAGGGTTTAGGGTTTAGGGTCCAGGGTTTAGGCTTGGGCTTACCCCCTCTTGGGTTAGTAGGGAATGGAAGAATGGTAGTACATAATAGTAGTTTTAACTGTACCCCATTCCTCCATTCCCTACTAGCCCAGGTAGTTATAGGGGTTAGGGCTTTTGAGGTTCAGGGTTCAGGGTGTAGGGTTTAGGGTTTAGGATTCAGTGTTTAAGGTGTAGGGTAAAGGGGTGTAGGAGTTTGGGGTTTAGGGCTCAGGGTTTATAGTATAGGGGTTAGGCCTTTTGGGGTTTGGGGTTTGGGGCGTTTCTTATCGGGTTGAAGCTGTGTAATAAGGGTTTTGGGGTATACGGTTTCGGGATCAAGGCATTTTGGTTTAAGACGACGGGCAAGATACTGCGAAATGAAACGCGTTTTACCCCTGAGGCCTACACCTTAGAAGCTGGCCCCACCCTGGAATAGTGGTATAATAGGAATATAATAGGGCCCTAATATATTCCTGAAAGTCACTATTACAGGGTGGGGGCAGCTTCTAACCTACACCCCAAAAGTCAAAACAGCTAAGCCCCAAGAATCTCAAACTGAAGCCCTGCAATCTCTGCCTTGCTGGGCAACTGCTCCCTAACCGCTACCTTAACCTACCAAAACCTACTTTTTTGTATGGTCCCTCTAAATTCCATATTAGGGGTTTATAATAAGAACCTACAAACAAGTAGGGTTTGGTAGTTTAAGGTAAACCCTGAGGCTTCGGTGTTTGAGGCTTTAGGGCCTGGCCTGGGGCTTGCGGGTTTGTGGCTTGCGCGTTCTGGGTTTAGCGCTTCAGGTTCTGGGGATGGGTTTAGGAGGTGTGCTATGGGGACCTTCGTTAATTAGAATAGAGTTCCTTTAACGGGTCCTACAAAAGGGTCCTATAATAAGGGTTGCTATAAGGTATTGTGGGGGTATGATCTGGGGACCTTAGTAATTAGAATAGGGTTTGGGGGTATATTATCCTATGATTGTAATGATTAATAAGGAACCCCAAGATAGTGGTACCGGTAGTTATTAAGGCCCCCTGTAATATTAGGGCATTAGGGTTCCGGTGCTAGGTTGAGGAGCTGATGAGGGACACGTTCTCGGTTCCGGCTGCGGGTTTTGGATGTATACCTTCTGAGTTTACGGCTTAAGCCTCCGGCTTCAACACCGTAAGGGTCTTAGTGATTTGAACCGGGTTTTGGGGGCTTTATTGCAGTATAGTGATAACAAGGAACTCTGAGAAACGCTATGAGTGATTTTTCAGGCTTCTACCTGAAACCCTGAGTCCAAAACCCACACACCTGAAAGGCCTCCCCCTCGCTGCCAAAGACTTCCTCGCCAAAGAAAGCATCCTCCTCATCGAAGAAGCTCATTTACCTGCCAGTTCAACCCCCAGAGAGCCCAAGAATCGCTGATTAAGGAATGTTTATACAACAATATTATGGCGCAGGGATAAGTAGTGTAGAATGAGGCTTTGTGGGTGTGTGATAGCACACCATATAGGAACTACAACGGGATACTCTTCAGTTCTTCAAACCCAACTACTATGCAACAAGCTTTCCTACGGTTCTAGGGTTTATGATTTACTGGGTTGTAGTTTTGGGGCTCTGAAAAGTATTTATGAATAGGTACCTCTACAGGAACCCTAAGGGAAATTAAAAAGTTTCTCAAATTGCCACCTGATTTACGATTTAATGCTGCTAGGGTTCTATAAGTCGCATAAAGCATCGCTGCAAGGCTTCTACAAGGAGCTTTCCAGAGTCTATACGGGTTTTGTGCAGGGGATTTGTTGGGGCGTTCGTCCTTGCAATTGCTCCCTTGCATCTTCAATGGCTTTACAAGGCTTTGTGAAACTGTTGTTGTCTTTTGGTTTTTGCAAGGGTTCTACAAATCTTTTTAATTTATGGGGATGGCAACAAAAGTTGCTTGTCACGGTTTAGAAAGGTTTCATCGGGCTTTGCAAAAGTGCTTACCTTCTACTGGTTTTTGAAAATAGGCAGGGGTTTAGTTCAGCTTTTAGGTATCCTTGCAGTACCCCCCCCCTTGCAATCACAGCTGCCACAATGGACGGGTGTATGTACCCCTCTCGGATTCGGGTAAGTTCGAGCCATCAGGGATTCTGTTGCAAGCCAGATGCCTCCCGCTTTTCGGGTCTGGGGCTGAGGGGATTTTGGGGTTTAGGGTTTAGGTGATTTTCGGGTTTGGGGTTTAGGGTTTAAGGTTTAGGGTTTAGGGTTTAGGGTTTAAAACATGTGCTAGAGTTCGGGAGGGTTCTATGAAGGAACTTTAACACTTCAAGCCGAAACCCTTAAGTCTGCCTAGTTTTTTAGTAAGGATTGGGGGAACGGATACCGCCTTGAAGGTCCCTCAAAGTAGTTCCTATAACCCCAAACCCTTGAGTCGTGCTGGCTCTTCAGTCTGGAGGCTCTAACTGCCAGGACTCGGCTTTTGGGGCTTGAGTGGTGAAAGGGTTTAGGGTTTAGGGTTTAGGGTGGTGTTGAGAAGCTGGAAAGCCGGATAGCCCTTGAAAAAAGCAACGCCCCTTGCAAGGGTTGAGGGTCCAGGGTTGCGAGGCATGCTTTACGAGGTCCTTTAAGAAAACGCTATATTTCAGGCGTAATTGTTGGGGTTTCCCCAAAACCAAGAACTTGAAAGCTCCAACACCAAAAACCTAAGCCCCGAACCCCAGGGAACCCCAAACCCCAAAACCCTAAAGCCTACACCCTGGAATCACTAAACTTTGCACCCTAAACTCCTGAACCCCTCAACCGAACGATTTCGGTGTACGTTAGACTATGACTTTCATGATATCGTATAATGACATCAAGACCCGTATAGCATATACCCCCAAAAAACAACCGGGACGCACCAAAAAAAAAACCTTATGAAACCCTAGAACAACCGGGATGCACTGTCTGCGCCCGGAGTAGGGAGACTTCCAGGTGCGGTTGACCGCAGATGCCGCGCTGAAGGTCTTGCCAAGTCCAAAGCCTCCCCAGCAAACCCTTGCCCAGGTTCCTTTTAGGGTTTAGGGTTTAGGGTTTAGGGTTTAGGGTTTAGGGTTTGCTGCAAGATTGCGTAGCGGTGGTGTAACAGGGATTGTAGGATTTATTAGCGGTTTTGTTGCCTGCGAATCGCAGACATGGCCCGACTGTGGCGGGCCATCACCTAACTCACCCACCCCACGCCGTCTGAGGCGGCAAACCACCCAAACCTATACCTTTTAGGGTTTAGGACCTAAACTCTGTTAGGTCCATTTTGGTTAACAACAATCACACATTTCTGCAGCCAAGCTTCTGCTCCGAAAAAGCAGGGCAGAGGAGGGCAAAGTACGGCAAGAGGTGAGGGGCCAGAAGAGTTAGGGGCAGGGGGAGGCAGGAGGCCGGAAGGAGGGTCAGGGTACAATACCGGGGCCAGGGGGGGCCAAGAGGGTCCAGGGGGCGGGCCAGGGGCCGGGCCGCAAAGGCACTGCAAAAAAACAGTTTTTCTCCCAAGTCCCCCCTAGGACCGGCCAGGAGGCCCCTAGGTCCCGGAACTCTGCTCGCTGGAGCTTCCAAGCCCCCCCCCGCCGGGGGGTCCCTTTTTGGGGGTGGCCAAACCAGCCGGAGGGTAATGACAAAAATAGGGACCAGTACTGGTCCCGGGGAGAACCTGTCCCGGTACCGGGCCTAACGTGGGTGCTACAGTACCCCTGGCTGTGGGACGGTGGGCGAACGTCCTGGATCGACCTGCGCCATCGATGTCGAGGGGCTGAAGCGCCGCCCACCATCGAAGGTGGGCGGCCTAGGCCTTGAGTTTAGGGCATCTTTTTTTGGTTCACTTTAAGGACGACAGCCCGGAACTCCGAAAATCCCCTGTGCTGGAGGCACCTGCACGCCGCAGGCCGCGAGGCCACCGAGCCCGACTAAATAAAAGCAGCTGCGAGAAAAGAGCTTTTGATGCTAGGCAAGGCCGTTCATTGATCGGTGTTATGAGGGAAGCAAAGAAGTAGAGAACACCGAAAAAAGTCACTAAGTTTAGGAGGTTAGGGTCTAGCTTAGGGTGTGATCGCTGACGGAGAATGGGAGGTTTGGAAGTTTGAAAACCTATTCTCTTGTACGGCTATTACCATTCCGTTTGATTGCTAGTGTTGTCAACAGTTCTTAGCATGATCCGTGTGGTTTGGAGTTTTTAGTTTAGGGTTGAAGGTTTAGGAATTAAGGACCTCCGGGTTGGAATAAAGGTTCAGGAATTGTTTAGAGGGTTTAAGGCTTTCAGGATTAAGGCTCTGTTGCTCGCTTTGGTCCTGCATCGACGAATTTGCGACAAACCTTCAAACCTACCTGCCTGGCCCCCTATTCGCCAAGCCCCGAAAACCTTACACCCTGAAACGCAAGACCCTCTACCTTAAAGAACCCCTACTTGAACCCCAAAAACCCTACCTTGTTAAGGACTTCTAGAAGGAAATCTTATTAAGGAACCCTAAACAGGCAGGTTTCTTAGTTCAGGTACACTCTACACCCTAAACCCTAAACCCCAAACCTTAAACCCTAAACCCTAAACCTTAAACCCTAAACCCCAAACCCTAAACCTTAAACCCTAAACCCTAAACCCTAAACCGTACCCAGAGCCTCGATGGTTCTAGGGTAGGGAATCTCAACTCTCAGTCTCCGTGAGACGCCGGGCCCTGCGCCCCGTGGCGCAAGGTTTCTTGGGCCATGGGGCTTAGGGTTTGGGGTTTAAGGTTTAGGGTTTAGGCTTTAAGGTTTAGGGTTTAGGCTTTAAGGTCTAGGGTTTAAGGTTTAGGGTTTAGGGTTTAAGGTTTAGGGTTTAGGGTTCAGCAGCTCCGGATCGAGCAGTTTTATAGTAGAGTTGTATTTACGGTCTTGATATAACACCCACCCACCCATAGAATCCCATAACATGAAGCAATAGAAAGTTCTTTCATCATCATTCAGAGAGTTCTACCTACAACTTAGCTTGTCAAAACTTTTATGTCGCCTTTTACTATGTTTTAAAGTTATTCACACACCATTAGGAAAATACAACGGTTCATATTCCTCACACAGCTGATTTATTTTTTTAAAGTTGTCGAGCTTAGACTTACTCCTTCCAACCACCGGTTTACTGCCTTAAACCCTAAAGCCCCCCGCCCTACGCCTTAAAGCCCAAAGCTAAGCCCTAAACCCTAGGCCAGATTAGAAAACTTAAAACCAAACCATACCAAAGCAATTGTTTCTTTGCAGACAAGAGCAAAACGCACATAGACGTCACCGATGTGCGTTTTGGATCTGCCCAGGTCTAAAAATTTTGATAGCAAAGCAAGTCTTGTTTCTTCGCAGACAAGAGAAAAACGCACATAGATGTCACCGATGTGCGTTTTGGATTTGGCCAGATTTGGACACTTCAAAACCAAACCATACGAATGCAATTCTTGTTTCTTTGCAGACAAGAGCCAAAAGCACATAGGTTCACCCTAAAGCCCAAACCCTAGGCCCTAAACCCTATAGCCCAAACCCTAGGCTCTAAACCCTAAAGCCCAAACCCTAGGCCCTAAACCCTAAAGCCCAAACCCTAGGCCCTAAACCCTAAAGCCCAAACCCTAGGCCCTAAACCCTAAAGCCCAAACCCTAGGCCCTAAACCCTAAGGCCCAAACCATAGGCCCTAAACCCTAAAGCCCAAACCCTAGGCCCTAAACCCTAAAGCCCAAACCCTAGGCCCTATTCCGCGAATACTTGACCTTATTCCGCGAACGCTTGACCTTATTCCGCGAATGCTTGACCTTATTCCGCGAAGGGTGCTTTGACCTTATTCCGCAAATACTTGACCTTATTCCGCGAACGCTTGACCTTATTCCGCGAATGCGTGACCTTATTCCACGAATGCTTGACCTTATCCCGCGAATACTTGACCTTATTCCGCGAACACTTGACCTTATTCCGCGAATGCTTGACCTTATTCCTTGAACAGCTTTCGTGGAATAAGGTCAAGCGTTCGCGGAATAAGGTCAAGTATTCGCGGAATAAGGTCAACTATTCACGGAATAAAGTCAAAATGCCCGAAAATGCTTGCTTGATCTTATTCCGCGAAGAACGCTTGACCTTATTCCGCGAATGCTTGACCTTATTCCGCGAATACTTGACCTTATTCCGCGAAGGAGTTTAAAGTTTAAATTACTATATGATAAAGAGGTTTAGGGTTTAAGGTTTAGGGTTTAAGGTTTAGGGTTGAGGCTCTGGGGTTTAGGGATGTTTTGTTTGAGGGGTGTAGTGTTTGGCGCTTGAGGGTTTTGTGTTTAAGGTCTTCGGGTTCTCGTGTTCGGGGATTCAGTTTACCCTGTAGGGTTCAGGTGAGTGTCTGGAAAATCTTCAAGCTTGCGCTGCAGACTTAGAA